GGGTTCCCAGAAGGAAGAAGGGTTCCCCATGAGTATGAGAGAAATAGAGAGAGGTATTTCTGTGCGAGAGAGAGAGAGAGACAAAGAGAGACAGAGAGAGACAGACAGAAAGAGAGGGAGAGAGAGAGCGTAAAGCGGTTGAAGGAGTTTGGGGTTGAAGGTTTAGATTTCAGTTCCCACATCCTACTCCTGGACACCGGACCTCCACCCCTTGAACACTGTAGCATCTCTCAGTTGCCTGTATTGGCACTGGCAGTATGATCCCCTCCTTGGTGCGACTTCCACTAGGCAGGTGGCAAAACCAAACCTGCGCACCCTAAACCTTCAACATCCTTAAGCCCTGAACCCTCCTGAAGCCCTGAACACTCAACATCTAAAGCCCTAAACCCTAAACATCCCTAAGCGCAAAAAAAAATTATCCCAGGAGCGCCAGAGCTCTTTTCACTGGCAGCGCTTGGCTGCTGCTGGTGTAGCTGCTGGGCTCTGCTCCGTGAAAGCGGGGCCCCAGGGCAGCAGAGTGCTTATGGTGTTGGGGTTTAGGGTCTATAGGGGGGGCAGGGGGAGGGGATTAGGGATGGCTTGGGGTTTAGGGTTTAGGGTTTAGGGTTTAGGGTTTAGGGTTTAGGGTTTAGGGTTTAGGGTTTAGGGCGAGGGGGGCAGGGGTGGGGGGGGGGGTATGTGAGGTGGTTTGGCAGCCCAGCTTCTTCAAAGCATGAGGATCACGGTGTAAAGGCCTGGGCTTGGCTTTGAGGGTTTAGGGTTTAGGGCTAGGGTTTAGGGTTTAGGGTTTAGGGTTTAGGGCTTAGGGCTTTGAAGACCTCATCCCTATACGCCCGTAGGGGAGCTCTGGCAGTGCACTGCTTGGCAACTGGTCGGGAGTTCGGATCTTCGCCTTGGCATGTTGAGGGTTTAGGGTTTAGGGTTTAGGTTTAGGGTTTAGGGTTTAGGGTTTAGGGTTTAGGGTTTAGGGTTTAGGGTTTAGGGTTTAGGGTTTAGGGTTTAGGGCATCTTTGCCAGCTAAGAAGGGGCCTGCCTTTCTTCTCCTGTCGAGAAGCTCTAGGACCCGGAGCAGGCACTTTTTCGTTTCTTTAGGGTTCTTGTAATCCTCTTAAAACCAAAAAAGGGCACCCCTGTATATCTTTAGAACTTAGATAACTTAAAACCAAAAAAGGGCGCCCCTTTCATTTTTTAATGTAACTCCTAGGCGCAGCTGGAGGCTGAATCCTGCAGAAGCAGCAGCTTGCAAACGTTCGCAAACGTAAGCGCAAAGCCTTTCGCAGCCTAGCTGCTCAGGCTCGCTCGCTCGACCCCAGCGTGTAAGGATCCTAAATCTGCCCTAAACTCTCATCTTTTAGGTACTTGATGGAGTCTGCGCCGTGACCTCCCAATACTGGGCTCTGACTATGTATTACAGGTCTCTTCTGGGGATCGCGGAACAGGTGGATGTAGTTGACGCGGAATGTCACCTAAACCCAAAAAGTGGCAAAGTGGTGTCTTTCTTCGATGGACGTTGAAGCCTTGCCTGCCTTGTGCGAGTGAGCGTCGAAGCCCCTCATCTTTGGTAACGGCCTAAGGAACCATTCGAGACCAGCCTGGGGAACCCGCTGCGCCGTGAGCACGAGTGCCGTGACTATCGACTCTGGGCTTGCGAGCTTGTTGTTGAGAGATTTTAAAGTTTAAGATATTTTCAAGTTTAAGATTGCGGGCCTCCGGTGCAGAATAAGGCGTTTAGGGTTTTGGGGCAAAGTTTGCAAGTCTGGCTTGCTTTCAGTCCAGTGGCAAACAGGTGCACTGTCGGCACCCCGGCGACACAAGGCAGCGAGAATGGGTTTTAGCTTCTAATGTTTGTATGGCTTCTCTTTGCTGAAAGTGCTTGGCCAAGGAGTCGACCCCGTTCATTGTCATTCCAGCTGATAATGCGCATGTTCCGTTTCTATTTCTACATCCGGCAAGATTCTGCGTCAGATGGGATGTGCAGGGTTCGACTATGTTTTTTGCAGAACAAATATCGGGATACTGGGTTAGGGTTTAGGGTTAGGGTTGAGGGGCCCTTTCCTGCATCGCGCGAAGCGGACAGCTGCCTCAATCAACTTGCCTCTGACATCCAGCAACATCTCGGCCGAGGAAAAACCTGATACCCACCGAGCTCGGCAGTACGAGTACATGATGCTGAAGACCCTTGGCGGGCGCAATGCCTTCGAGCTGGAGGTCGAGCTTATAAAGTGCAGGATATCTCTTCGGCTTGAGGTTGTGAAGAGCTGATATGCCGTGCGCGCTACTGCAGCGCTACTGCAAGAGCCGCAAGCCCATGATTGCCCTAGGATTCTAAGGCAACGGGCTGGATGTTGGGGTAAGTCAGTTCTTCCCATGGCAGGGTTGCACATCAAGAGTTTACATAAATAATCAAGGAGCTCTAAAGGTACTAAACAAAAGGTGAACAGGCTGAAGGAGTCCTTGTGGATGTGAGGCCCCCGGAAACGGATTCTTACAAACCCTACACCCAGCGGTGTCCCGAAAATAAGCACAAGGTAGAACTCGCAGGCTGCAGGCTGTATATCCCGATGTAGGTACTACTTATACAGCATGCTGTAAAAGTACATAGCCATCTCAATGAAAATGTGTCTGGCTCTTGGTGAGTGAGACCTCTGGGCGAAACCTCACCTCACAGACCAGGAATGGAATGCAGGTGGTGCTGGCCTCCGACCCTACATGTGACAAAGCGGCCATGGCGCTGTGCCCGGGCATGTGAAATTTTGCAACCACTATACCCAAAGCCCATCGGCCCTCAAACACATCCTAAACCCAAACCCTGCTTCCTGTGGTACTCTTAGGATTCAGGTGCTGTGTCGTTTGGGATGAATGCACTACCATGAAGTTCGACATTCTGCCGAAGATAAACGAAAGTTCACTCTTTTGAGTTTTGTTAACTATCTTAACTTTCTGCTCAGTGCTCTGACTGGCATTTGGAATAGTCGCTCTGTTTGTAGTTTTCGTTGCCGGCAAATTGTCCCCTTACAAGCCCCGGAAAGCTTTGTCACGAACTTTCAAAACATACCAATATTAGTTCCACTGGGCCTATACAGAACGGCAGGGGGTCCAAGGCTCTGATTCAGTGACCCTTCCAGCAAGTAGACCCTACAACCCCAATTTCGCCCGGACATTGCTGCACCAAGATCTTGCAACCCCCAACCTTAAGCCCTCCACACCCTTAACTCCAAGCCCAAGCTCAACAACCCTAAGCCGCTGCATTCCAAGCCCCACACCCTAAGTACACCCCCCCCTAAACCCTTAACCCTTAACCCTCAACCCTCAACCCTAAACCCCAAACCCTAAACAACTGAGGTGCGTCGGAGTGGGCCGGCTCCATGAGCCTAAAGACATGCCAGGATTGGCGCACTTCTGCGAGCACATGCTCCCTTTCCCCATGGGGGTGGCGGGTGGGGATCAGGATTCAGGGTTCAGGGTTTAGGGTTGGGGTTCAGGGTTTAGGGTTTAGGGTTTAGGGCTTAGGGCTTAGGGTGTAGGGTTTGTAAGGGGAATTTTGGCTTAACACGGCGGGGGGGGGGGGGGGGGGGGGGGGGCCTTAATGATTTTGTTTGTTGTCCCCTTGTACTCACGATATATATATATATACATATATATACACATATACATATATACATATATATATATATATGTATGTATATGTATATATATATATATACATATGTACGTAACCCCACCAAGGATGCAAGCTCAAGAAGGGGGAGCTGTTTGCTTCGGCACTTTTGTTTTTCTGCCTTCAGAGTCAAGAGCTCCTGCTTCTTCCTATTCCGAACGAAGGCCTTCTACATTACATCATGTGGGGAACTTTGTTCCCTGAATCAAGGCATACAACACGAAGTCCTCAACAGTGGCGTGTCCGAGCCAAGGCTCTTTCTGGGCACAGAGGGCTTCCCCGAGGAAGGTGAGTACAAGCGCTTCGTGAAGCAGTGCCTAGGATTGCCAGTTCGCTAAACACTCCCTGACCCTAAACCCTAAACCAGGCTTGCCTGTTTTGTGCGAGTGCGAGAGACGAAACAGTAAACCCCGAACCCTGAACCCCAAACCCTGCCTAGCAGGTAGTACCCAGTTTTGTGGCTTTTGCGTTTCTTTCAACTCAAGGGCTAAGGGCGCGGGAGGTTTCCGGAAATGACACCTGCAACGCCCAGCAATCCATCTTCTAAAGTGCCATTTGCAGATGCCAGAACAAAATTGTTGGGCTCAACTGCCAAACTGGGCCCCTACAGGCTGTGTTGTGCTTGCCTAAACAGTCAAAAGCGGATTGGGTTAGGGCTGTATTCGTTCTCAGGAGGGACAAGGAATTGGGTACTTACCTTCCCCCCCCCCCGGCCACCACCGCCTAAAAGGGATCATAGAGGGCACCTGGTTTCCTGTGGGTTTATCGGCAATCCCAGGCACGGAGGCAAATGCAACGCCTCCACCGGCGACGATAAGACCTGCTACCAGTTTGACGTCTCCCCGGCATTCCTGGCTCCTCGGTCTTCGCTCTGTCCTTGGGATGTTCCCCCGTATACTAATTACTAACAGTCCTTCATAGGGATATAGTACCCCCAATGAAAATCCCTATCAAGGACTGTTAGTATAAGGGGGAACATCCCAACTCTTTCCTGGTTTTTTTTGCATTCTTTGAGACCGACTCATGATACTAGGGCCCTTTGTCCTTCTTAAGGCGCTGTTGCTGTGTGAGAGACTAACCTAACTTTTTGTGGTTGGCTTTGGGACTTTGAGGAGGGTTGAGGTGCCTGTCTCAGCAAGGCGGTTGCAGTGTGCAGGTTTTGTGACAGACACATCAGACACCTTTCAGGGAGCTTAGATCACCTTCGGAAAAATGTGTTGGGGGCAATACCATGCGTCATGGCTATGGAGCCCTTGATGGCCTACCACCTGGAGCGATGCTGATTAGAAATCGTGAGGCATGAGTGAAGTTTTCTGCTCCAGTATAGTGTAGAATGCTGGCCATGACAGAGCTGCAAGAAGTTGACTTGCATGCCTCCGGTTTTCGCCGCCGACGGCGGCCACTTCTTGCCGTGATCCTCGGCTGCGCAGCCTTGGCCGTGGCTGCGCAGCCGGCCTGGGCTTCCCCGAACTTCCGCAGCCTGGGGAGCACGGCGTGCCCTCCACGTGTCGAGCATCCCGTGGCTTCCCCAGAAGGCCAGGGAAGTGAGGGAGGCCGAGCCGAGGGGCCCGAAGGGCCCGAGGGGCTTGCTCCAGCACGGCGCTCCGTGCTGGGCATCCTGGCCACGGGGGCCGCTTGGAGTGCAGGCCTGACCTCAGCTTCGGCCTTGGTGCGGGGAAGCCCGCCCCCCAAAGGCTACGGCCTCGGCAACTATCTCCCTCTTTGGGAGTTAATTTTCTTCTTTTTTTTGTTTATATAAAACCCCAGGGGATATTTAAAATAGTATTTTTATGAAGGTTCTAGGGGCAGTAGAGGCAAAGGCATCAAGGAGGCAGCCGACTGCAAATCCATGGCTGAGTGCGAGGAGCTGGGCCGACAGCGCGAAGAGGAGAAGTATGGCACCAAGCAGGAGAAGACCTTCAAGGTCACCGCGTTTAGGGTTTAGGGTTTAGGGTTTAGGGTTTAGGGTTTAGGGTTTAGGGTTTAGGGTTTAGGGTTTAGGGTTTAGGGACCTTCAAGGTCACCGCGAGCGGAGCACGCTACAAGGACATCAAGATGGGGAGTGAAGCCGACGGAGTGGCCAAGGCCGGGGATGACCTGAAGCTCAAGTATCGGGTCATGCGCGCCGGCAAGCGCTCCTACGATGGCGTGTCGGGTGAGGCCTCGACATTGTTCCTTAGGGATACTTGGAAGTATTTCTTGGTTTTTGGGTACTTTAATTCCTCAGAAACAGCCAAAAGTATAATTTTTGCTAGGGTTCCTAGTTCGGTGAAGGTTCTCCCTGGGATATGGCGAGGATGAAGGTCCCAAGGATGCCACGCTCAGCGCACCCCTCGGAAAGGGGCGGTTCGTCAAGGCCATCGAGGAAGCTCGGAATAGGCCTTATAAAGGGGCATCTTACATTTTTTTGTTCTCCATTCTTGGGGTTTTAAGAGGGTCATATTCAGAAATTACCCCCTACATCCTAAACCCTATATATATATATACCCTAAACCCCAAACCCTTTTTCAGAGGGTCTTTCATGGCCATCCTAGGAAGGATTGGTTGGCATGAGTGTGGGCGGCGTCCGGCGGGTCCAGGTCCGGCCCGACTACGGACTTGGCTGGAAGAAGCCAGGGAAGTGCGCAGAGGAGATCGGAGCAGTTGCTTTGTTCATAGTGGGGCAACATTTTTGCATTAAGGGTACCTTAAACTCACTAAGCAATGGAAGCTTAGGGTTTAGGGTTTAGGGTTTAGGGCCAGTTTAGGGTTTAGGGTTTAGGGTTTAGGGTTTAGGGTTTTTAGCACGATCCCAACCATGAGCTAGGTTGGCGCCCTGGCCGGCCTTCCCGCAGCCGGAGCGGAGAAGGAGTCCTCGTGCTTGGATACCTCACTCCTGCCCCAACCAGAGGACTGTTAGGGTTTAGGGTTTAGGGTTTAGGGTTGAGGGTTTAGGGTTTAGGGTTTAGGGTTTAGGGTTTAATTAGGGTTTAGGGTTACCAGAGGACTGGAACGCCAAGCGCCGATTTGAGAGGCGCTTCGACGAGTCCCTTATTGTCGAGGTGGAGCTGGTCGGACTAGGCAAGTGAGACACAGCCCGCTTTGAAAAAAAGAAGTCCTGCCCTGTGGCCGGTTGTCTTTGCGGGTGGCACAGGGTGTAGGGTTTAGGGTTTAGGATTTAGGGTTTAGGGCTTTAGATGAAAGGGCTGCAGATTGCACACATCCCAAGGAGGGCGCCATGGATCGGTTCTCGCAGTTCTTCTTGACGCCTCTCTTTACGAAATCGGCCACGGAGAGGGAGATCAACGTTTCCGTGGCTGCACTCTTCAGGGTTCGGGGTTAAGCCTAGTAGTAGAGTAGGTAACCTTTAACCTTCTTGGGTCAATATATTCCCCTTATAATCCCAAAGGTTAACCTTTAAAACCCCTAGGTACTGGACAACTCAGTAAGGGCTTAGGGTTTAAGGTTTAGGGTTTTGGGTTCAGGGTGTTGGGAGTTCAAGGCGGCGCAAGGGCCAAGATTCTGTTTCGTGGTCTGTTCGCTTGACGTGGATCGTTTGTGACATGTTGTGTGTCCCTGCTACTATCGGGCGCCGTGTGCTAGGAAATCTCCAAGATCGAAAGCCGCTGGCTCTAGGATAAGTTACACTAAACCCTAAACTTAGGGGCACTTGGATATAATTGGTAGTTTTTGGGCACTATAATTCCTAAGAAACAGCAAAAAATAATCTTTGCTAGGGTTCCAAGTTCAGTATAGTAAACCCTAAACTACAAACCATATAAGGAACCCTATTATGATTTAAGGAATATTCCTTAATTAAGGGGTATTGGAGTCTCTGATGCCATATCATAACCCTTAACCCTTAACCCTAATCCCTACACCCTAAACCCTCTACCCTAAACCCTAAACCCTAAACCCTAAACTACAGAGGGAGCTGCTCTTTGACCACAAGTGAGGGGGAAGCGAGGCTGTGGACAGCGAGCATTCCATGCGCATCTCAGACGACGGCAGGAGGTCGTACGCATCACTGCTGCAGCTTGCACCGAAGTTAGGGTTTAGGGTTTAGGGTTTAGGGTTAAGGGTTAAGGGTTAAGGGTTATGTTACGGCCTCGAGGGTTGTAGGGCCGAGGCTTGAGGGAGGTGTGCATCCAGGCCCATATTGCAACAAGTCCCTTCTCCCGCAGGTTGGATGCGAATCCGAAACATCCCCTTCACTGGGGCTCGGGCAATGCCATTCGGACGGCAGGGAACAAAACTCAGAAGGAATGCGTTGATTGGATTTAGGGTTTAGGGTTTAGGGTGTATCTAGGGTTTAGGGTTATGGGGTTTAGGGTTTGGGGTTTCAACCGCTCAACAGTAATCCCAGACTGGCAGTCGGATAGGCCGTTTTGTGAGGTTTTGTCGCCCAGGTTCAACCTCACCCTGATGGACCCCAAAGCTACTTTATTTGTAAGACACCTCACCCTTATGTAACCCAAGCCCTTCTTTGCAAGAACCCAAGCTTAATGGTGCCCAGGGTACCCACTTGACATCCCTGGTCTTGACCCAGGACATCTGCCAGCAACCGCCTAAACACGCCTAAAGATCCCTGAGCCCTCAAGCCCAACTCCTACACCCCGACCCCTAAACCCTATAAACGCGCAACGCTTCCGAGTTCCCCTAAGCCCTCAACCTTAGCAAACCAAAACCCTACACCTACACCCTAAACTAAACCCCCCCACCCCCTCACCCCCCCCATCATCCCATCATGAGGCGAAGTCCCTCCGAGATGAGCCCAAGGCTCGAGGGGTCGAGCTGCACACGGAGGTCGTTCGCCTCTTGGACTCACCAGCAGCTGAGGGTTTGGGAGACTTTGGGGATGTTTCGGGAGCCCACGATTTCCGCAGGAAGCAGTATACCCCAAGCCACACGAGGGTATGTTGAGGGGTCTTCCGGACATAGGGCTCTGGGTTGGCTGTTGATGGCGAAGACGGTCAGCTCGAAACCCTGAGCCCCTGTGGGCGAACATGAAGCACCAGGCTTCTACAAGGAGAACTACACGGCCGAGGACTGCCACTATAGCTGCCGGCGTTGGCAGGGCTTAGAGGGCTTAGGGTGTGGGGAGATGTCCTGTTATGTTGGTTTGTGGTGTGGCGGGGGAGTAAAGTCCAGGAGAGTTTTTCCCCTGATGGAGGACATGACCCTGGCAGTGCTTGGAAATCAGCCTTTGGATCAGCTGCGAAAGATGCGCCTTGGCAGACTCTGAACTCTAATCCTTAGGATTTTTTGGGGTTTAGGGTTTAGGGTTTAGAGGTAGCTGCGTAGATAACCTTTAACCTTTTGAGGTATATACAATCCTACCACAATTGAAAGGTTAACCTTTTTGGGGCCAGGGTACTCAGCACCTAGGCATCTACAGCACCCCTTTTTGAATCCCAAAGCCTTCGCACCCTACCACAGCGCTAAAGACTAGCACTCCACCATCGCAGACAGAACCGCTGCCACGCTTCTAGGGGAGCTTCGCAGCCCCAACGCCGGAAAATCCGCAGTATGGCTTTCAGAGTTCAGGATTGTCTCCATTTGACTCGCTCCCTGTGTATGGTCCTTCCTATAGGGGTGCGGCTATACATATATATATATATATATATGTGTATATAGGACCAGAAAAGGGGCCCTAATTTAGAGAACCCTAAACCCTTTAAGATGGCCATCTCTTGGCAGTTCCAGGGCCTGGAGTGAGCCCAAGCCCCCCGGGGTTCTTAGTAGGGAATTGGGGAATTTAGGTCCCCGACATAACCCCTTAAAGGGTTCTGTAGCGGGATATAGGGGTCCCCTACATAATCCCTTGAAGGGTTTGTGTAGGGGGATACAGGGCTCCCCTACATAATCCCGTAAAGGGTATCTGTAGGGGGATATAGAGCACCTCATTCCCTACTTAGGGTTTAGGGTTTAGGGTTTAGGGTTTAGGGTTTAGGGTTTAGGGTAAGAGCCAGCAAGAAGGGCCGAGTTGTCGCGCCGAGGATCGAGGCGCGCTTCGAGGGCGTGGCCGTGACCGGCCAGCGGGCCTTACGCGGGGACCGCCCCCAAACCCTGAACCCTGAACCCTAAACCCTAAGCCCTAAACCCTGAACCCTGAACCCTGAACCCTGAACCCTGAACCCTATCCTCTAGAGTTGCTGATTCTTCATGGGGAAGCAGGTTGGAACCGCCCAAGCACATGTCGCGGCAGGGAAGCTGGGAACTTGGTCACTTTCCCATGCAAGTACTGGCTGGTTCTTAGTAGGGAATGAGGGAATGGGGGCCCTACATGATCCCTTAAAGGTATATATATATATATATACACATATATATATATATACACATATTATATATATATATACACAAATACAAGAAAATATATGTATATATATATATATACAGGGCCCCCATTCCCTCATTCCCTACTAAGAACCAGGCGGTTTAAGGCTTTTTGAGGGATGTTTAGGACCCTACTTCGCCAGTCGCGATGACAGACCCCAGGAGAGCTCCATCGAGAGAGAGTATGTCTATTTGCCTTTTTATGTATTTATATGTATATATATATGTATATATATATATGTATATATATATATGTATATATATATATATGAATTTCTAGTAATATGCATTATTACCCATTCCTTTTCTTGACTATTATGCTTGTACCTAGGCTCGTTTTGTTGAAGGCGCGGGGGGGTTAAGGGGGGTATGTAACCCCCCTTACTTTGTCTGAAGGGTTCCATGGGGTTCTTGGTAAAGGCAGAACACGTTGCGAACCTGCCCGCCCCTCCCCCACAGGAGCCAAAAACTCTGAGGTCCTAAGCCCTGGACCAAACCCTACACTCTAAACCTACTACCGGGCTTAGGTTGCCTTAAAAGCCCCTTTCAGCCAAAAAGGGCACCCTTTTGACTCCTGAGTTACTCTTGCATCCCAAATCTGAGAAGGACCAGCATGGCGCTGGTGAGCCGGCGCTGCTACCGAAGGACTGGGCTCACAACGTCCTCAGCAGCTCAGTGAGGGCTTCCTTGTTTGAAGTGAAACCCGAAAGAATTCCGAGAAGGGGTTTTGATTTAGGGTTGAGGGTTTTATCAGGGTTTAGGGCCAGAAAGCCATGCACAAAGTTTGGGGGGTGGGGGGGACGGTACGTCTGCCAAACGTGGAAAGTTTCGGCGGCTGACGGTTGTGAGGAACATGTTGGTCACCGGACAACCGGGTACAATAGTCCCTATGAAGGACTGTTAGCATAGGGGGGAGCATCCCAATCGAGGATTTCGCAGGGCTTTGCCTGCGGACTCCGGCTGCTTGGCTCCCCTGATTACTCCCTATCATGCAAAGTTGCCCCTTTCTTGGTACATGCGCGTACAGAGTGTTTGGACATTGGAGGTGGGCAATAGTGGGAGATGCGCTGGACCCTTAGGATTTCTCGGCAAAAAAGGATTGCAGGGGAGGGTGTGGGGGCCTCTAGCATGGTTGAAGGTCGGGTATGAGGGGACGGAGCCGCACTTGTGCTGGGGGGCTCGCATGTCGGTTCTGGAGCAAGGTGTATCGTATCCTAAACCCTCAATCCCTCATCCCTATAATCCCTATAACCCCTATACTCCCTATAAGCCCTTCAACCGTTGTAACAGAACTGTAAGACCCACTCAGGCCCTGATCTAAGCTTTGCGATTTCTGGTGCGAGGCGCTTCGGTCCCAGATTCTGAAAGTAACTTTTACCCCCCCAAAGGGGTACCCCCAAGGATCTGGAGACCTAGGGTACTAGGGAGCAGGACCTCCCGATGATTCTTGGTGCCATCTTGGGGTTGAGGGTTTGGTGTTTAGGGTTGAGGCCTTAGGGTTGAAGTGAAGATTTTTCACAGGTGGTGGTTTCCGAAATTTGGGTACCTTATTGAGGTCCTCACTATACGGGAAGCCTACTGTTTGGGAGCATGCTCTTTCGTTACGGGCTTGTAAACTTGTAGGGCTCGAGCAGGCCCCGGCCCCTATGAACCAGCAACCCTTGGCCCGCGCAAGGGATTGAGGGTTTGGGGCTGAGGGTTGAGGGTTTAGGGGTTAGGGTTTGTGGGGTTTGTGGGGTTTAGGGTTTAGGGTTTAGGGTTTAGGGTATGTGGGGCTTTGGGACGTAGGGAGTATATTCCCAGCCTATTTTTCGGTTGTTGGGCATTAAGGGTTTAGGTTGATCAAGGGCTAGGGTTAGGCCTACCAAGGATTAGGGGCACGGTTAGGGTTAGGCCTCCATTCTCAAACCCAAACGAGGTTCAGGATGTTCGCACGCTGAAGTTTTCGTGGCAGTGTCCGGAGTGGCAGGCCTAAAGGGCAAAAGGGTCATCCGGTTCATCGGGTTTAGGGGTTTAGGGTTAAGGATATCTGCAAGGGGACTTCTTGGGCCGTCGAGTCTTCTGGGTGAGAAGTGTTCTATTATTTGGCAAATATGGATCTCGAAGCCGCCCCCAAAGTCCTGGGTAGGTCCTTGGGGTCGTTTTGGTTCAAACAGGTTTGGGCTCGAGCTTTTGAGAGAACGTTTCTGGCATTTTTTCTTTCGTGTGATTGCAGTGCCCATACCTGAAGGTTGTTCAACTAACATTAAGGTACCGATCATAGCCCGGGCTCGTATTTGTGGCGGGGGCACCTATCTTCGGCACAAATTTAAAGTTCGGTCCCCCCCCCTCCCCCACCCCCTTCCCCCCCAAGACACAACCCGGTAACTCGATGAAGGGTTTAGGGTTTAGGGTTTATGTGTGAGCACTTCTGGGTTCACGGACTGGAAGGTGCCCCTGTGGAGAACCAAGCCGGGAAGCTACGTCTCTCACATGGTGGGCCATGAGCTTCAGCTTTGCATCGGGGGGGGGGGGGGGGGGGGGGGGGGGGGGGCACTTGTGGTACCCCCACGGAGCACTTTGCGTCAGACTTGGAGGCAGATCAGGGTCTAGTTGGGTTGTGTAGGGGTTTCGGCTAGGCTCATCCCTTGACCTACACCCACAAGGTTTAGGGCTTCAGGTTTGTAGATCCCGAAACCCCTAAACCCTAAACCCTGGGTGCCAACAAAATCCCAACCCGCAACGAGCCTTTATTACTTTTATTAAAGGCGAGGCTGCAAACCCAAAGGTAGATCCCCCACTGTTACGAATACGCATGTACATACTACGGTGATGCGTATAATCTGTGTGCATATATTTATACATGTATGTAGTGTATGTATTGTATGTATTGTTTGTATTGTATGTATTGTATGTATTGTATGGATTGTATGTATTGTATGTATTGTATTGTATGGATTGTATGTATTGTATGTATTGTATGTATTGTATGTATTGTATGTATTGTATGTATTGCATGTATTGTATGGATTGTATGGATTGTATGGGTTGTATGTATTGTATGTATTGTATGTATTGTATGTGTTGTATGTATTGTATTGTATTGTATTGTATTGTATTGCATTGTTTTGTATTGTATTGTATTGTATTGTATTGTATTGTATTGTATTGTATTGTATTGTATTGTATTGTATTGTATTGTATGTATACATACACACACACATATATATATATACATACACATACACATAAATTATACACTATACATTAGACATTATACATTATACATTATGCATTATACATTATACATTATACATTATACATATACAATAGACATATACAAATACATATACATATACATATACATATACATATACATATACATATACATATACATATACATATACACACACACATATATATATAGAGATGTCTACATATGAATAAAAGGCATTAGACACAGTGACACACACATATACATATATATATATATAATATGTATATTTATTTATGTAAATACATATTGTAGTACAAACCACAATGTAGCATGGAGATTGCCACAGTTTCTACAGTTACCCCCCCCCCCCCCCCCCCCGCCCCCCGAGTGCTTTCTCCTGCTATGCTGGAGCTCGCCCCAAGCCCGAAACCCTCTAAACCCTAAGCCCCAAGCCCTAAACCCTAAACCCTAAACCCTAAACCCAAGCCTGCAGCAAGAGAGATGACCGCCATCCTAAGGAAGGCCCTGGTTCCCTCCTGTCCGCCCTGAAAGCCGAGCTGCTCGCACTTTCTGGAAGATTGGGGAAGAATGTAGGGGTTTAGGGGTTTAGGGGTTTAGGGTTTGGGTCGGAATTATTACGAATAGCATTCACTTAGGGTCCCTTTGTAATGATCCTAGAATAGTAACCCCCCAAATCCCTGTTCGAATTATCCAGGCCCCTGTATTATTGGGCTTAGGGCCGTTTAGGGCTTCGTAGGGCTTCTGGGTCGAGTTTCGGGTGCAGAGTTTCGGGTTTAGAGTTCAGGCTCTCTTTCTCCCACGTCAGTAAAGCCATGCCAGGGCTTCAGTGTGTGTTTGCCTTGGGGCCCGTGGTCGGTTCTACTGGTCTGGTGACTGCCTGTGGCAAGGCTCAAGGGCCCAGGGACTAAAGGAAGCACCCTTACAAGGGACCTTAGGGGCAATGTAGGGGCTACTTATATAGGGAGATAGTAACTACATGGGTATGTAGGGGCTACTTATATGGGTAGATAGTAGCTACATAAGGTAGTATCCTTAGGGGTAATGTAGGGGCTACTTATATGGGTAGATAGTAGCTACATGAGGTATAGGTAGGGGGACAAACAGGGGAATAGGATTCAGGAAAACCCTCCTTACATCCCCTTATCATCCCCACAGTCTGAGCATTCCATCTTACACCTCAACCCTAAACCCTGAACCCTGAACCCTAAACCCTAAACCCTAAACCTTTGAGCTGCGGAGGAAATGGGCAACGGCGCTGTCTGCCGGGGTCTCCGAGGTCGGCAGCGACTTCTCTGCACGTGTGGCAAGGCCCCGGTCGGCAGTTCGGAACTCCATAGGGTTTTTAGGGTTTACGGTTACTAGGATGCCCAGTAGTACCCTTATTCCCTTTTTGGGGGGTTTAGGTTCCCTTATAAACTCCTTTAGGCAAAAAAGGGTACCCTTTTTAAGCCTAGGTTACTGGGCAGCCTAGGTTAAGGTTTGCAGTCCTGGGGTAAAAGGGGTTTAGGGTTTAGGGTCTCATCTCGTGCACCGTCATATCCCCCTTCAACCTTCCCTTACCTCAACCGAATCCGCAGCTGGGGCTCTGATGTGTGCCTGCACCCGGTTGAACGCAACAGGAGCCTTCAACGTGTGAGCCACAGTAAAACAATTGCTCCCATCCTCGCTCACTGAGGGGTGATGTCGAGCGTGCATGCAGAGAGTTGCCCCTCAAGCCCTGCAAAAGAACGAAAGGACGACAGAAAGAAATACATACAGTAACAAGAGAGAGACAGAGAGAGAGAGAGAGAGAGAGCTAGATAGAGAGAGATGGAGAGAGAGAGAGAGAGAGAGGGGTAGAGATAGGGGGAGAGGGAGGGCGTGAAACCCCGCAGTGGAACACAAACCAGCAGCACTGGCGCCCGAAGGCCACGACGGAAGCAGGGGACCGACTTCACCGGGCCAACTCACCCAAGAGGGTCCATTTGTGGTATTATTCTGGCATTAGGTACCCAAAAACCCTTTTGAATAGGGTTTTGGGGTACCTAATTCCAGAATAGTAGTACATGGACCCTCTGGGTCACATCATGACAACAACCATTGCAACGGCCACCCACCTAATTAATATATATATATATATATATATACAGCAACCCGGCAAAGTCACCCACATGAAGGGAGAAAAAGGGAGACAAAGGGAGACAAGGAGCCCAGGAACCCGGCAACAGTCCTCAGAATGTCGGCAACCCTTATTAAATGAATTATTAAATGAATTTAGAACCCCAACAGAAGACTGTTTGGGGAAATACATGACTATTGTTATCAGATTAAGTGAGCACTGTGGGAGTTCTGCTGAATTCGGCCGGCTTGCGGGGCAGCACACTGGAGAGGAGCTCCTGGGCCAGCGCGAGGGCCGAGCCCTCCGAAGGAGTGCAGAAGACAAAGGGCAAGAGAATTAGGGTGTAGGGTTCAGGGTTTAGGGTTTAGGGTTCAGGGTTCAAGGTTTAGGGTCTCGGGTTTAGGGTTGAGGGTTCGGTTAGACCGAGAGAGAGGTAGAGAGAGAGGTAAAAGCAGCAAGCGCAAGAGACACAGAACGAACCACACCGCATGTGTTTCACAACCAAGGCTTCTCTCTCTTCCAGGTCACGATCTCCTTGACAGAAGGCTGGAGCATGGCTCCCCTTTGCCTCGGGGCATTTTTGAGGGCCCATCTTCACAAGGGAAGCACCTGCTAGCACCTCTTGACACAGCCTCTCTTCTCCGGGTTAACAGGTCCCGTGTTTCAGAGATGGGGTGTAGGTCAGAGAGCGTTTGGGATTTGAGCTGCTGGCCGGAGGCTTTAGATCTGGTGCCTCGCCGTGTCCGAGTCTGAGTGCTAAAGAAACGAGAATAAGATCACCAATGCCAGAACACATCCTTGGTTCTCCCCTCGAACCGTGCGAGCCTTCGCCAGCCAACGCTTTCACAATTCCCGGTTACGGATCAGTGCAACTTCGATCGAAAGGGTCTTGAGGATGATTTAAGCAGGGTTACCGCCCTATAACTATACCCTACAAGGAGGGGCCCCCTTACTCTACTAACTGTAGTTAAGGGACTTATCACCTAAGCTAGGATCTTCAGAACCCAATTTAGGGTCCCTATAACTCTACTTATAAATAGGGGGCCACTCCTTGTAAGCCCCAAGCCAGGTTCCCAGAAGCCCCAAAAACCCCCCGCAGGCGGATTAGATCACGTCGCTGAGATCGGGGAGCGCCTCTTTGCGTTCCTGAACCTGCTGCGTGCGCGGCTGGGCTACGGCACAGGGGGGCAGTTCAGTGCGATCTGTCGTATTTGTGGTGTCACAGCCGTAGGAGGAGAAGAATTGGAGTAGTATTAGCAAGTAGCTAGTTGTCATAGTTGTCCGCTACTTGCATTGTGTGTTTGTATCTGGCACATTGCTTCAAAGTTCTCTGCTTGGCACGAAAAAAACAAACATCGCCCCAAAACAAAAGAGCAGCCAGACTTTCGTCTACTGCCTGCTGCTCAGTGCGCTCTCGCGAACTCGCGACACAGGACGCGCAACCGAAACAGGTTTGCGGCGCAATTCTCTCCGGCAAGCGTGTGAAACACTCTGCAGATACCAGTACCAAGGTCGACTAGTGTTTGTCTGGCTCAGGGCTTTGTGGGTCCCGGCGCCTGAAGAGGTAGTTGTGCAAGCCCTTGCACACCCTCAAGCCCTGAGGCCCCCTGGGTTTAGCGTTTAGGGTTCAGGGTTCAGGGTTCAGGGTTTAGGGTTTAGGGTTTAGGGTTAGGGTCCCTAAACCCTAAATCCCCTCCCCTCCCTCTAAAAGCGAAGCTCAGGAGTCCCATCCAAACTCGAGTGCTCAAGGAGATCCAGACACTTCGCGACCTGGTTCCTTGAGCTGCCAAAGCAGTAGACATTTGAGTGTTCACAGGGTTTTAGGGTTTAGGGTTTAGGGTTCACCGGGTTTTAGGGTTTAGGGTTCACAGGATTTTAGGGTTTAGGGTTCACAGGGTTTTAGGGTTTAGGGTTCACAGGGTTTTCGGGTTTCGGGTTTAGGGTTCACTGGGTGTTAGGGTTTAGGGTTCATAGGGTTTTAGGGTTTAGGGTTCACAGGGTTTTAGGGTTTAGGGTTCACAGGGTTTTAGGGATTAGGGTTTAGGGTTCACCGGGTTTTAGGGTCTAGGGTTCACAGGGTTTTGGGGTTTAGGGTTCACAGGGTTTTAGGGTAGGGGTTTGAGGGTTCATCGGGTATGAGGTTTAGGGCCCCGTTTCGGGCTTAGGGCTTGGTTGAGATGCCTAAAGCCCGAACTTCAGAATCCAAAGCCTGCTTCTTGCAAGGTTATTTCGATAGAGCTCCGGGGATTCTTAGGTAAACTGAAAAAGGTAGGTTTGGGTTCTTTTAACTTTGTAGCTGCTTTACACTTTTTGGGATACTACAATCCCCTATAGAACTGACAGTGTACACCCTTTTGGGGGCCTGTGAACTCAGCCCCTAAACCCTAAGGCACACCCGAACACCTAAACTACGTGAGACCAGGGCCCCGGGCCGCCATCCGTGTAGGGCTTCGGGTTTAGGGATGCATGTGCGCCGGCAGCCGCAAAGTCCGTTGCTCAAAAAGGGTTTAGGGTTTAGGGTTTAGGGTTTAGGGTTTAGGGTTTAGGGTTTAGGGGAGTGTAGGGAGTTCAGGGAGTTTAGGGTTGCGCTGTCTGGTGAGTATCATGAGATGGAGCGAAGTGGGTTGAGTCTTTGGTTCCGGCAGATCTCACGTAGAGCCCGGATGCAAGAAGGGCTTAGGGTGGAAAAGCTTAGAGCTTAGGGTTCACAAGGACTTCCGCTTCTCTGACGACCTGCAGCCGTACACCCTGGTCAGTCACTCCCTTTGAACTTTTTGTTTTTTTTTTTGTTGGGGGGGGGGGGGGGGGGGGGTAGGTTTATAGGGTTTAGAGTTTAGAACATAGTGTCTCCCAGGCGTGGTTAGAAGAGCATCGTGAAGAGGAGTATTGAAGTCAACCCTCCGCCTTCCTTGGTTGTTTGGAGAAGTAACCCGAAACCCTAAGGTCATTGGCAGGACGAGATCGGTTGTCAGAGTTAGCAGAAGTTGGTGGATCGTTCTGCAGCCTTGGCCTACCGCAACATTCGAAACTCCAAGGCTGGGATGTACCCCCTTATACTAACAGTCCTTAATAGGGATTACAATAGGGGGATATATAGGGGGCACTATAATCCCCACTAAGGACTGTTAGTTTCAGGGAAAACATATCCCAAGTCGTGAGTCGACGCCCTAAGGTCAGCTGGCCAAGAGCCTGCAGGAGTATCCTCCCGGGCAGGTGCTTCGCTTTTTCCTGGGGAAGCTGCCCCATCCACCTCCTCCACCCCTAAGGTTTGACATTTTTTACCCTGAAACATATGCATTCTCAATAACTTTTAAACATGAGATCCTGGAGGCTGAGGGTTGTGTGATGCGCAGTTGGGTTTCAAGCTCGGGGGGAGGTTGGGGTGAATCAAGGCTGACTAGGTTGACCGTGCCAGCCAAGCTGCTTGGACTTCATTCCCAGAGAAACAGTTCAGGAGCCTAAACCCTAAATCCTAAACCCTTATCCTAAACCCTTATCCTAAACCCTAAATCCTAAACCCTTGAACCCTTGAACCCTAGTCTTAGGAAGTATGCCTTGGGTGAAGGCCATGGGTGGCTGTGACCCTAAACCCCAAAACCGAATAGCAACGGCGTCGAACATCGTGCCTCAACCTAGCAAATGTCGCAGCTGCGCAGAGAGTTTAGAGTGCAGGGTTTAGGGTTTGGGGTTAGGTTTAGGGTTTAGGGTTTAGGGTTTAGGGTTTAGGGTTTAGGGTTTAGGGTTTAGGGTTTAGGGTTTAAAGGTTTAGGGTTTAGGGGTGCCTCCTTGTAGGTGCTCTCGGCTCCATACCGGCTACTCGAGATGGACCGGACCCAAGAGTCTGTCAGGGCTGAGGAGTTATCCCTTGAAAGTGATTAGGGGCGACTCAGGTATATATCCCGCACCCCCCCGCAGCCTCCCCCCCCCCATCGTCATCCCCCCCCCCCCCCCCCCTGTGGTTCATGGTACCTTTGGGTTCCCCTCACTGTGGTTCATGGGTTTAGGGTTTAGGGTTAGGCTGCAGAGTTCAGGATTTTCACCCTGACCCCCTTAGTCCATTGGTTCACGGTGGGTTTAGAGTTTAGAGTTTGCGGTTCAAGGTTTGGGGTAATGGTAGGTTTATGGTTTCCCCTCTCCCCCTGTGGTTCGTGCTGTGTTTGCGGTTCAGGGTTATGGTTACGCGGTTTGATGTGGCCTGGAGAAGCTTTCTATCTTCCAGATCCTTGTGAATTCACTTTTGCGAATACACTTCTTTTATCTAATGCTGCTATATCTTTAGGAAATGCTTCTAGGAATTGGAAATCTCATCACAATATGTGATTTTCTTCATTTTGTGGTAATTCTAATTATCTTCTCTTTTATTAGTTTGCAGATTAAAGAAATTCGTATTCTCGCATATTCAATTAATGATTCACTTTATAGTTGTCTTTCTTTTTTCTTACAGCATTACATCTCTTTCATCTAAAGACGTTATCATCGTGCGGACATGGATGCTCTGGCCATTCGCACGCACTGGTAACAGGGACTGGACGTTATCATCGTGCGGACATGGGTGCGCTTGCCAATGCGAAAACCCAAGCAAAACCCATGTTTTCGCTGAGAGCACGTCTTCTCTTCCAAGAGTGGTGATGTCACATGTCAAAACCCCAAGTAAAAATGCCAGTTGTGGCAAAAACTGCTTTGGTGACTCTTTTCCGCAAAAAACCAAAAGGGGCGTTGCAGACTCCCCACCCACCCACCCACCCCCGCTTGCTGAAGTTTACCACGCCTGCCAGTGGTTTCGACATGCCAAGTAAGGAAAAGCATGCGGACCGTTACGAGGTCGTTACCAACGACAGCAGCAGCAGCAACAACAACAACCTGTGCTACCCCAGCCCACTTGTAAAACCCTAAGCCCTTCCAGTACTTGCCACCCTGCTGTTCTTTCTAGTTTTGCATTGGACCGTTGGAAACGCACTACGCTTTAGTCCGTTTTGTCCAACCTGACGTGTTTCCAAAGGCTGGGTAAAGTCATCATCGAAAATTCTGCGCAGACATTTCGCTAACCTCGGCGTGAAAAACAAACTCGGGCTTTTAAGGCGTTCAGGGCTCTTCATACTGGCGAAGCTGAATTCTGAAAGCCTTGACGTGTTTAAAGCACAAGTATGAAGTTCCAGTTTGAATCTTGGATGAAGTGAGCCGCATCTTCACTGCGAGGACACTGTCGGAATCCAGCGTTTCCTGGCACATTTGACAGCCGCCTGCTGGCAACACCCTGAAGGGTTTAGGGTGCGGGCTTCAGGCTTCGGGACTCTGTAAGCAGGAGTTGGCCATGAGGCAGAGTTGCCTGAAGCCATTGCAAGCCCAGCGGCAGCCTTTACACGTCCTTGGAGTATAGTTGGTGTGGCAATGCTTTAAATTTAAAACCCTTGGCTGAATTTCGTCGGATTCCGGCTGAGGCACAGAGCTTATTGAGGTGGGGCTAAATGCTTCCATGAAGCGTTGCCTCATTGAAAGTCCTATGTACGTGTGTGTGCATGCTCTGGGGGTTCGGCAGCGTGTGCCGCGGCGTCGGGAAAGCGTCGGAGCGCTGTGGATTGCTTGCAAAGAGCGAGCGCCAAACCCTATACCCTGCCACGGCCTCGGAAAGCGTCGGCGCGCTGTGGACTGCTAGCAGGGAGCGCGTGCCAAGCCCTAAGCCCCCTAAACCCCCTAAACCCTCTAAACCCTCTAAACCATCTAAACCCTCTAAACCCTCTAAACCCTCTAAACCCTCTAAACCCCCTAAACCCCCAAAACCCTCCAAACCCCCTAGACCCTCTAAACCCTCTAAACCCTCTAAACCCTCTAAACCCCCTCAACCCCCTAAACCCCCTAAACCCTCTAAGCCCTCTAAGCCCTGTAAAGCTCAAACCGCCGCCTAAGGTGGGGGATGCCCGTGTGGAGCTCGTCGCCAAGCAGCTGGAGCCACGCTGCACCTCCCAGGCCACGAAGTCGGGGCTTTGGAAGCTTTGGGGTTTAAGGGTTTCGGATTTGCAAATAGTTTCTTTTACGTTAGCAAGAATTCCTAAATGGGGTTTTTAACGTTTTATTTTTAGGGTGTTTTAGCATTAAAAACCCTAAATGGTTTTGTTTTTAACGTTTAAGGTTTCGGATTTGCAAAAAGGGGCTTTCTTGGCTCCGAAGTCCCAACGCCCTCCCGGCCTTGAGGGCACAAGCCCCTGGGTGCCTATAGTGGTTTGCGAGCGCAAAGGGTTTAGGGTTAGGGTTTAGGGTTTAGGGTTTAGGTTTTAGGGTTTAGGGTTTAGGGTTTAGGGTTTAGGGTTTAGGTTTAGGGTTTAGGGTTTAGGGACTAAAAGGCGTTATACAGCAACGAGGTTGAAGTTGGAATGTTGGACCTGCCCCCCGCCCCTGAACAGTCGAAGCTGGTTTTTGCTCTCTTTCAACGGTCCACGGATGTATATGATTTTAAACGAGAGGAGCTCATGTGAGTTCAAATGCAATTGACAGCGCGCCGCACGATTTTTTTGTACGACACCCGGACGATTTGACGTAATTGCGGACCGCCGCTCTGGACCCCCAAAAAGTCGCAGAACCACTTTCCCATAAGGTTCAGGGTGTAGGGATATAGGGTTTAGGGTTGAGGGTTTAGGGTTTAGGAAGCCGCTTTCCAATAGGATCCCTGGTATGGCGGCAAGTTCCAACGGACGCAGGTCGAGGTGCGGCTTCCTTTGCCTGGAATTCCTTTTGGGGGCGATCAGATACCCTGTGCTACCATTGAGGGTTATAGGGTTTAGGGTTTAGCTGTAGGGTTTAGGTTTTAGGGGAATTCCTTCTCAGGTATATACCATGAACCCTTCTAGGCTTCATTTCCCCCCCAGGATATTTGATTCTTGCTTGGGCTTGCTGTGAAAGAACTTGGGTTCAGGCACCCGTACAGGGCAAGCTATACTGTATCCTCACTCTACATCGAATGTTTTTTACTGCGAAATTTGTGGCTTAAGTGCCTGCAACACCCTAAACCCTAAACCCTACACCCTAAACCCTAAGTTCCTGGGTGGCAAAAAAACCCTAAGTTCCAGCACAGCTACCAAGCTTTGGGGGTTTTGGTTCCTCTTGGGCACAAAAGAGCGCTTTAAGTCGCCTCGTAGTCGTCGCATGATCAAGTGAAAATGGGGTCCTTCTTCTTTTGGGTGCCGTATTTCAAATACTGGGACCAGGAGTAGGCCCTTCTGTCCTTTTCTTAGGGTTGGGGTTCCCTTATAATTTCCTTAAAACCAAAAAGGGTACCCTTTTATTCCTGGGTTACTCCCGGGTCTAGAAGCGGACCCCCCAAGAGGGACTCTTCTTTCCCAGAGGGTCCACTTGTAGTACCATTATGGCATTAGGTACCCAAAAACCCTTCTAAATAGGGTTTTGGGGCACCTAATTCCATAATAATTAGTAGTACAAATGGACCCTCTGGATTTTAGAGAGCGACCCATGTTTCGCAGCGGAGCCATGTACCCTCTGCCGCCAGGTTTTAGGGTTTAGGGTTTGGGGTTTAGCCCCAAAGTTTTGGGGTTTAGGGTTTAGGGTTTTACCCTAAACCCCCAAAGTCTTGCTTGGGAGGACGGATGGACGAGAGCCTGGGGCGCTGTTGAGGCTATCGGGCTCTTCAGGGCCAAAGTTTAGGGACTTGGGTTTAAAAAGTTTAGGGTCTAAACCCTAAACCAAAAAACCCTAAATCCTAAACCCTCAACCCTAAACCCTGAACCCTCAACCCTAAAAGGCTTTAGGGTTTAGGGCCGTGCGGGGATATCTTGAAGCTTGTCGCAAAAAGAAACTTGGTCTGCGCTTTGGCATCCTCGGGTCCCAAAAAAGCATTTAGGGTTTAGGTTTTATTATTATTTCTATTCCTATTATCATCATCATCATCATTATTATTAATATTATTATGATTATGAATGTTACTTTCAATATTAGTTTCAATATTGGTTGAATGCACTACTTCACTGTTGGTTTCAATCTTGGTTTCAATGTCGATCTGTTTCAATGTCTGTTTCAATGTTGGTGTCAATGTTGGTGTCAATGTTGGTGTCAATGGGTTCAGGGCGTAGGGCTTAGGGTTTAGGGTTTAGGTACGCGCCCGCGAGGAGTCAAAAGCGGCGACGCAGACGGCGGCCTCCTTGGGGCCTCTTGTCTTTCTCGATGGGTTGTAATGTTGTACCTGCGTTAGGGGGGCCCCCCCCCCCCCCCCAGAACAGTCGAAGCTGGTTTTCGTCCTGTTTACACGGTCCAGGGGTGTTATATGATTTGAATAAGGAGAGTATATATAAGTTTAAGAGGAGCAGCGATGCCCGGCAATGGAGTGGACGATTTGAACCCCACCGTGCACCCCCAAACAGTCACCGTGTCCTGAAGAGCCCAAACCAACAATAACAACAACGGAACCCTAACACGCTTGAGCTACCGTGGGCCTTGAACCGTAACGGAGGTTCTTGAACCGTTCCTGGGGTCTATGAGGGTGTAGGAGTCGAGGCCCTGAGCTCAATTAGGCTTCGGGGCTTTAGGTTTTCAGAGTCACAGCAGGCCAGATGCAAAAGGTTTTCAGGGCCCCTAAGGCCTCCCTAAACCCTAAACCCTAAACCCTAAACCCTAAACCCTAAACCCTAAACCCTAAACCCTCCGAGTTCAGAAAGGGGGGCTTCGACTACTACCAAGGTAGGGCTCAGGGCTCAGGGTGTAGTGGGTAAGGGTCTAAGCTAAGGGGTTGGTCGAATGGAACCAGCTGGGCGCTTTGTATACTTCGGTCTTTGGGAGACTGCTTTGTTTGAATGGGGGGGTCGTCTTTTACATCTCCTTTGAATCCTCCTGCAGGAGTTTCCAGGCACCCTAAACGCGGCCGGAAGCCCCAAGCCTAGCAGATGAATGAAGCAAGAGCCCTAGAGGGACCTTGGACACCCTAAACCCTAAACCCTAAACCCTAATGAGTTTGGCGCTGCCCCCGGTCAACGTCTTCGTTCCAGAGGACATCACCGTCAAGACTGCCAGGTCGCTGGGCTCTGATTGCGCAACTTCGTTTAGGGTTTAGGGTTTAGGGTTTAGGGTTTACGGTTAAGTCGAGTCGGTGGGGGCCTACAGTAAACCCCAAAAAGTTGGAAACCTTTTTCAGGATGCATATTGCTGGGATTCCCTTTACTTTGCTCTTAGGGATTGAGGCTATTGAGTTTCCAACTTTGCGGCTTCTACTGTAGACCCTCCATGCCTTTCTTTATAGCTCGGTAGGACCCCGGGATACCTTTTGCTTCAGATGATCTGGCTTTTTTGGATACTTCGATTTGTGTTGGTGCCTCACGCCCAACCCTACAAGCAGTGTATGCCTTGCCTTGAACCTCGAGCCCTCAACCGAAGTCTTGGAACCCTAAACCCTAAACCCTAAACCAGGACTGTTCCCTGCGGAGTGACCCCAGAGGGCTAAACCATAAGCCCTAAACCCTAAACCCTAAACCCTAAACGCCCTAAACCCTAAACCCTAAACGCCCTAAACCCTAAACCCTAAACCCTAAACGCCCTAAACCCCCAACCCTCAACCCTAAACCTTTGAACCCTCGAAGGCCTGAACCCGAAACCCAAGTTTAAAACTGAAGCCTTCTCCATGCCCAATCTGAAAGAGGCAGCTGCCACCCGTGATTGTAAGGCCTGGGGCGCCCTCAACTAGAACCCCCTAAACTCTCAAACCCTACGGCCTCAATTTCAGCTCCACGCCGTCTATTCGTCCTCAATCCCCAACTCTGAAAGCCCGTCAGGCCCGAGCCTAAGACCTTGAGGTTTAGGGTTTAGGGTTTAGGGTTTGGGGTTTGGGGTTTAGGGTTTAGGGTTTAGGGGCCCCCAAGCCCTTGGCTTGTCAACCCTCCGAAACCGCGCAAACACGTCAGCCGCTCGAGTAGCCTTAGAAGCCCCAAAACCCTAAACTTCAAGAAACCCTCCTCAGAACCCATGTAGTCCCTAAACCCTAAACTCTCCTCAGAACCCCCTCCAAACCCTACAGACCTTAAGCAGGCAACTACCCCTAAAACTTTAAAAAAACTTGAAAGCTCTGCAGTCCTTGGGCCAGGTAGCCCAGTGGTGCCCTCTACCCCTTTTTGGTTCAAGCTTCCCTTATAAAGTGATTAACAAAAGGACCTTGGGATGTTCCCCCTTACACTACCAGTCCTTAATCGGGATGATAACGGAGGGGGGGGGTACTATACTCCCTATGAAGGACGGTTCGTATAAGGGGGAACATCCCAACAGATAGCCCCAAAAAGGGTACCATTAATATCCCCTCAACCCGAAACCCCAAACCCCAAACCCCAAACCCTAAACCCCAAACCCCAAACCCTAAACCCTAAACCCTAAACCCCAAACCCTAAACCCTAAACCCTGAACCCCTAAGATGGGTTTCTGGGCCAGCACGTGGGCCAGGTCTGTGGAGCTTCCGATTGAGCTGCCGGCCTTCGGTTGCATCCCGAAGGCTTCCGTTCTGGGTTTACAGGGTTTACAGGGTTTTGGGGCTTTTTTGGGTTCATAGGGTTCATAGGGTTCATAGGGTTCACTGGGTTTATAGGGTTTATAGGGTTTATAGGGTTTATAGGGTTTATAGGGTTTATAGGGTTTATAGGGTTTATAGGGTTTATAGGGTTTATAGGGTTTATAGGGTTTATAGGGTTTATAGGGTTTATAGGGTTTAAGGTTTAGGCTTCTCAGAGAACCCTCCAGAGGGTGTAGGGTTTGGGGTTTTGAGAAGACGGGCTTGGGGGACACTTTGGGTATCCAGGAACGTCTGGAGCGTAGTGCTTCTTAAGGTTGATCGAGTTCGGGGCATGCTGAGGCTTAGAGAGTTTAGATGTTTTGGACTGCCCATCGTGAAGTCACCGGTATCAGATGGCATGTGCGCAGGCTTTCTACCGCCCCGATGACCGTTTTTTGCAACCAAAGTGTCGGAGCTGCAGCCAGTATGTCGTTCTGCCGTTTGGGGGATGTAGGGCCTAGCCTCTGATTCCTCCTTGCGGGCTCTTGACCGCAAAAAGCGTGCATGCAGCTTTGCAGGGAAACCCCATGCTTTCAAGCCCAGGAACCTAAATCTTGAATGCCAAAGCCCTCCCTCCTAGCCAGATGCCCCTCCCCCCTTGCGATCTAGAGGCTTCTGGGCGGCAGGGGAGGGGCCTGGAAACTGAATGAACAACGAACAACACATGCTCCAAAGGGAAGGGTTTAAGGTTCCGGGTTTCAAGACAGGCTTAAGGCTTAGGACCTAGGATTTGAGAACCTTAGCAACGAAAGGCTCTCGGCCTTAGGATCGCTGAGTGCGGCGTGAGGCTGTTAGGCAGGAGGAAAGAAAAGCCCCCGAAGCCCTCTGTAACAACAGGGGCCGATTTAGAATGAGGACTTTGGGCATAAATGGGTAGCGAAACTACGCCCATACCCGGAATATCCCGGAATATGAGGGGGATAGTACGCATGGTGGGCATGCTACGTCTTAAGGGTCCCTCTACCATTTGCTTACCCCCCCCCCCAAAGCAAACAAAAAAAACAGAAACTAAAATGATCATCCTTATATTGCCCTTACAAGGAATAACTTTTTTTTTTTTGGGGGGGGGTTCTTAAGCAAAAAACAATAACCCTAAGCCTTAAACCTAAACCCTAAACCCTGCCTTGTGCGAGAGTGAGCGACTAAACCCTAAACCCTACTGCAAACCCTAAACCCTGAACCCTGAACCCTAAACCCTAACCCTGAAAGGCTTTTTAGTGGGGTAGCTGAGGTCGATCGCAACCTTCCGCTTCCACCGGCCGCGTTCGATGCAGGACTCGGCGAGCCGCTTGACCTTGGGTTTAGGGTTTAGGGTTTAGGGTTTAGTGTTTAGTGTTTAGGGTTTAGGGTTTAGGGTTTAGGGTTTAGTGCTGCGGGGGGTGTCTTTGGCTTGGTTTTCAGTTGGTCTTCGGCTCTTTCGGGCTGTTTTCGGAAGAAGGATGCCTGAACCCTGAGACCCCAAACCCTAAACCCTTTTGAATCCTAAACCCTTTTGAGCCCCTAAACCCTAAACCCTATAATGTTAACCTTATGTATATAACCCCCCCCCCCCCCCCCCTGAATTCTTTAAGCCTTCAATGCGGAAGTCCTGCGGTCTCCCGCACAGAGCCAAGGCAACCTACGCTCCACAGCACGTTGGGCCGCATTGGAGCCCCAAACATCTCATGAGAAATAGGGGTTCTAAGGTGTAGAATTTCGGGGTTTCAGCGTCTTAGGGCTTTCGGGCTTTAGATTTAGCGGTTTAGGGTGGAGGTTTAGGATTCGTTTCCTTTTGCCCGGCAGTTGGGCATATTGGGCCCTATAGTCCCTGTAATCAAACCTATAAAGAGCCTTGTTTAAGGGGATATATGTCCTTTAATCCCTGTAATCAAACCGATAAAGGGTCTTTTAAGGGGTTATAGGGTATAACAGCCCATGCTGGTGCACTGTCCAGTTCCAGCAGGGGTGTGTTCTGCGCTTTGCAGTGCTTGCTTGGAGTGCAGCCCACCAAGAGGAAACTGGGTTTAACAGAAAGCTCATTTTGGGTTTTGGGGGTGTTGTATTCAACCTTAAAAGACAATGCATAAATCATGCTTTTGTTGCTATGGCTACGTGGATTCTTTTGAATCCTGGGGTGTGCAGCCTTCTCCTCCTAATGGGGGCGTCTCCAGGTTATTTCCAAAACACCCCTGATAGGATTCTTAGCTAAGTAGGTTTTCGGCGCAGAAAGACATCTCTCTCTCTCTCTCGCAGCTATGGGATCGCCCACAATCGGGCTAGCATATGCCAGCACGGGATGTCGGAGAGAAACATGCGTCCACCCTTGGTGCAAAAGGAACCCCACACACACTAGCATACGACGGCAAAAAGATGCGAATGCACACGATTTGGTTTGCATCCCAGATTTGATTCCCGATGTTACGCCTGTGTAGGAGCATTTCTGCGACCCTGGTCGGAAGGTCTCTTTGCATTTCTTGTCCTGCGTGCCGCTTAATTGCCCACAAGCCAGCTGGGTGCGCGAAATCCGTAAACCTAACCCTAAACCCTAAACCCCAAACCCTAAACCCCAAACCCCAAACCCTAAGCCCTAAGCCCTAAACCCAAACCGAAAACCCTACCAAAAACCTTCCTTCGGCCCAAAGAGACGCCTAACAAGGCTTGGTGCGCGTGCATCGCGGAGGAGCTCAACGAGTACGCCTATGACGCAGCGCCCCTGCCTGCAAGCAAAGGATCCCGTGCTACAGGTGATGCAGTTCAAGCAAGGTGTGTGTGTGTGTATATGTCTAAATCAAATGAGTACATAAAAAAACCAACCAACCAATATGTATATATATATATACATATATATATTTATTTATTTCTTTTTTTACTTATTTATATATCAAACTGCAAGATAGCACAACATGGCGTCGTACACCACAATATAACGTATGAGAGTTTCGTCTGGGCACATACATATACACATAGCATCGTTTCTTCTCGCAGGAATTTGAGATGTGAAGTTGAGACTTTTTTCGCTACAAAAGAACACACCTGAAGCCACCCGCACTTCACTCCCAGAATCCTGAGAACCCGAAACCCCATGTGCACGCCATGCCGTACCCGCTGAACCCTAAACCCGAAACCCTAAACCCTAAACCCGAAACCTTTTTTCTAGCACCCTATTCTTTCTGAGCCGGGACGGTATGGAACGCCATATATATCTCCTATAATTCACAAAGAAGCCGAGGAGGAGGCAGGGCTGGCCTATCGCCTCATGTCATCGGCACTTGGGGTGGACCTCCAGGTGCGATTTTGAGGGTTCAGGGTTTAGGGTTTAGGGTTTAGGGTTTAGGGTTTAGGGTTTAGGGTTTAGGGCCCTTCATCAGCAGATTTCCCTTGAAGTAGTTCCCATGCGGTGCTTTTGGGCTGTGGCTCTCGTGTTACTTTTTTGCAAGGTGTCCGCCATACTCGACTCAGAGAGGGTTTAGGGTTTAGGGTTTAGGGTTTAGGGTTTAGGGTTTAGGGTGTGTCAGGGGAGGGCGCGCGCTCGGGTGTGAAACACCCCGGGCCGCGCGCTCGCGTTGCCCGTCAACCCACCCCGGCCACCCAAACTATACTCTATTAGGGTTTAGGGTTTATGGAATTTACTTTCTTGTGCTCTGATGCTTGCTTTGATGTTTTTAAAGTTGCGCTGTTAGGGTTTAAGCTGGGGTTGGGGGTAGCCTCGGCCCTTTTCGGGCCTTCGGCGTGTCAGGGCCCGTAGAGGCCCTTATTTATTTGAAGGTCAGGGAAACCCTTTGTGTCTGCTTTTGGATTCCCCTTCTTTCAGGGCCTCAATTAAGCATCGATTTCACTACCAAAAAATCGCATTTTTCATTGCGGGTACGGGCATCCTGGGGTCCCCCTTCTTTTAGGGGGCCTTTTGAAGCCTTTTGAAGTATTTTGGTGGCTCTTGGGGTCTCTCGGGGCCTTGTTCGGACCTTCGGCGTGTCAGGGGCCGTAGAGGCTTTATTCATTTAAAGGTCAGGGAACCTATTAATGAGTTTTTCGCCAATGAGTCTTTCAATCGCTAGGGTTTAAGCTCGGGTTCGGGGTAGCCTCGGCCCTTTTCGGGCCTTCGGCAAGTTAGGGCCCGTAGAGGCCCTTATTTGCTTGAAGGCCTTCGTAGGGTTTTGCGGTGTTAGGGTTTAAGCTGGGGTTCAGGGTAGCCTCGGCCCTTTTCGGGCCTTCGGCACGTCAGGGCCCGTAGAGGCCCTAATATGCTTGAAGGCCGTCGTAGGGTTTTGCGGTGTCAGGGTTTAGGCTGGGGTTCGGGGTAGTTTCGGTCCTTTTCGGGCCTTCGGCACGTGGGCCCGTAGAGGTCCTTGCTGATTTAGGGGGAGCCATCGATTTCAAGACTAAAAGGCGGGCAGGGGCCTAAAAACAATGTTTTCAATATTCTCATTGTGGGCACGGACAAATCTTGTGGTCCCCCTTCTTTTAGTGGGCCTTTTGAAGCTTTTGAAGCTTTTGGTGGCTCTTGGCTTTTCTTGGGGGCTTCCTAGGCCCTTAGCCGAGCCGTGTTAGGCCCTTGGTCCGGCAAGGGGCCTTGGCCAAGGGGGCGTATTGTTGGGGGTCCTTGACTCAGGGGTCTTGGCCGGTCCTTGGCTCCCTTGGCTTGGGGGGCCCTTGGCCTGGGCCCTTGGCTGACAGGCGGCCCTTGCCTTGGCGGAGACCTATTGGCCGGGAAGCCCTTGGCCCGGCAGGCCCTTGGCCCGGGCACCCTTGGCGGCTTGGCCCGGGCGCTTGGTCCTGGAAGGTTGGTCGGGGGGCCCTTGGCTCAATGGCTAAGGGCCCTTGGCCCTTGGTTGGGGGGGCCCTTGGCCCGGGGGGCCCTTGGCCCGGGGGGCCCTTGGCCCGGGGGGCCCTTGGCCCGGGTCCCTTGGCCCGGGCGGCTTTTGGTCAGGGGTTCGGGTGCCTTGGCCCGGGGCCTGGCCCGAGGCGGGGGGGGCCCTTGGCCCGGGGAGCCCTTGGCCCAAAAGGCCCTTGGCCCGGGGGGGCCCTTGGCCCGGGGGGCCCTTGGCCCGGGGGGCCCTTGGCCCGGGGGGCCCTTGGCCCGGGGCCCTTGGAAATCCGTGAAAAGCCCCCAAAATCACGAAATTGAGCAACCAGCCTGCCTGGACCCCTCGCCAGCCTCCTGGTCCAGGAATCCAGCTACCAGGGACCAGGGGGCCCCCGGGGGGGGGGGCCCGACAAACCCTGAACCCAAAACCCTGAACCGACCTCCAGAGGCAAAGGGTTACGATTTGGGGTTATACTTTAGCTACGCTAAAGGTGGTCTGGGTGCCGGCCATCCCTTAGCCGAGTACTGACGTTGTCGTAAAAAAGGCCGATGTCCGTTGGCCTGTCCAGGACAGACGGTGAGGCTTAACCCTCACCTTTCCGTTTCTCTTTTCGCTTGGGCGCTCGGGCTGTAAGGCCCTCGGCCGAGCGTTCGGGGTCTGTCGCTCGACGGAAGCGACCCCTCACTTAGTTTAGGGTTTAGGGTTTAGGGTTTAGGGTTTAGGGTTTATCCAGCTTGTGCAGTTGCGATTTTGCGGTAGGTTTCAGGTGGGTTGAGCGCAAAGCCCCAAACCCATCGACAGAACATGCAGGCCTTACAGGCGCCTATTTTATATTGCCCGGGAGTCAAACTTCGTTGGCTCTGCAGGGGCAAAGCTTGGCAGGTCGATGGCTTCCACGACAAGATGCCAGTTCTTCTGGAGGCCTGACACTGACTGAGTGACAGTCATGTGGCTTATTTGGGAGGCTCCCTCCCTCGACTAGACTTCCTCTTTTAGGTACCTATTGTAAGGTTCTTCGAGACCGTAGTTCTTAGCCGTCGTTTGATAGAACCCTAAACCCTGTACCCTAAACCCTGTTCGAGAGAAGTGGCTCATGTGGCAGTAGATATGCAGGGGCTTTCCTGTGCATGGCATCATAGCTCACGCAGAGCATGACGTTGGGCAGGCCATCGTGCGGAAGATGGCAGGGGCGCCTTGTCCCGCAACGAAATAGCATGTACATAAATAAATAAACAAAAAACCTAAAATATGAATATACATATATATATATATATATATATATTTGTATATATATATATAGTGTATGTGTACATATACCTAGATCATGCTCCGCCTCGTCCCTCGTTCCCAAAGCTCCAATGCCTGTGAACCCCAAAAGGTGTCACCCTTGCTGCACAAGCAGCCGGATGCTTTTTTACTTACATCTACTTCGATCGTACCTCAATGGCTAGTTCCTCAGAGCAAGTTCTTTCAAGAAGCCTTCCAGCTAGGCTCGACATGGGGGTGGGGAGAGCCCCAATGCATGATTTCCGAGCGATCGTCAGGGCTTTGTACCACCATCGAAGGCCCTGTCTGCTGGGAGTTTCGCGAGCTTTGGGAAATGGGTGTTTCCGAAAATACGGGACCCCGAATAGAGACCCCCCTAAATAGTAGGATTCCCTTATCAGAAGGGCCCCAAATGAAGTAACCCCCCGAATTTTCGGACCCCCCCCCCCCCCCCCAAATGCCTCCCCGTAGCCAGGCCGAGATCTCCGAGCAGTCGTTTACTGTGGTCAAAGATCGGCTGCTGCGCGCCTATCGACCCCCGGCCTGCACAGCAAGCTGGGGCACTTCTTCGTATGCGAACAAAGTAGTAGTAGAATCCAACACGAAGTAGAAGAGAAGAGTGGTTCAAGAATGGAGTACTGCGATATAGAAGCGTATCTTACTCCAGTAACTTGATGGCAATGGCATGAATGTCGGATGTCTGCTGTGCTCTTCGAACCATGTTGTGTCGGCCTCGACGCCTCTGAGTTGCCCCAGCCACCCAAAACTTTCAGTTCCAAACTGTCATCCACAACACTGGAGAGTCACGACGTGCCCTGACAACCCAAGGTTGTTTTGCAGCCCAGTTAGCAAACACATACCGTGGGATGTTCCCCCTTATACTAACAATCCTCAACAACAGGGATGAGAATAAGGGGTACTAAATTCCCGATTAAGGACTGCCAATATAAGGGGGAACATCCCAACAAATAGCCCCCAAGAAGGGTTGCATGAATATCCCCTAAACCCTAAGCCCTAAACACTATAACCCTATAACCCTATAACCCTAAACCCTAAAAACTAAACCCTAAACCCTAAACCCTAAACCCCAGCTCAGGCAACCAAGCAAGCAAGCAGAAGCCCACGGCCTTCGCGCTCCGGAAGTTCCGGGAACTCTTGGACGAGCCGCTTGGGCAAGTTTGCTTTGTGCGGTTCATAAGTGCTCCAAACCCTAAACCCTAAACCCTAAACCCTAAACCCTAAACCCTATTTGGTTTTAAGAACTCCAAAACATAAGACAACAAAAATCCCTGCATTGCCCTTAAAGGGATGGATGTGTTTTGTTGGTTGTTTTTTGGGGGAGTCGACCTGCATTGTGTAAAGTCGACCCACGACAGCGTGAGGATCTACACACGGAGGCTACATTTTGACCGTGACCTTGGGGAGTTACTTATTCACTTGTGTTCTTTTGAAGTGGGAAGGCATGTGTCTCACGGGGTTTGCTTTAGCGTGACAAAGCGGTTCTTGGGTTCCAGCGGCAGTAGGCTTTTCTAATTTCAACAAAGGGAGGCGCCTCTTTGGCAGAGTTTCATCTGACTTCTACTTACTCGCATCATCTCGCAACGCGATTTGTGAGACAATTTGTTGCTAGCTTTTTTGGGGGGGATCAGGAGCTTCTCTGCCGTGTGTTCTTGCCAACCTCGTGCGGACGTCGCGGAGCCTCGCGCAGGGCCACCTTCAACACGCCTGCTAAAACCCAGGTTGTGGCCTTCAGGATTCAACTCTCTAATTCTGCACTCCCTGCATATATAGCGCAGCATAACCTTGCAGACCCCCATGTCAAGTGCCCTTCGTTTCGCACGCCATCTTTACACCGCCCATGCGTGTGAGCCCTGACCCCCTCCGAATCCCTCGAAGGTCGAAGTCCAGTCGGAGGCCCGACGTCCAGCCCTCTAAAGAGTCCAATTCCCCCTACATGGCCGAGGTGGAGTTGAAAGCCGCAGAGCCACCCTGAACCCTAGCCCTAAAGCCTAAACTCCTAAACCCTAAGCCCTAAACCCGAAACTCCAAACTCCTAAACCCTATAGACCCTACTCAAGCTTCAAGCCCAAGTCCAGGTTCAGCTTCACGCCGGAAGAGAAGCTCCAGGACGCAGAGATGCTGAGCCTCTCGGGCCAGAAACTTGAAGCCTTTAGGCCCGTGGCCCTGCCACGAGGCATTGTGGTTTAGGGCTTCGCACTGGGGTGGGGTGGAGCAAACCCTAAACCCTAAGCCATGTAGGGTTTGGGTAAGTTCCGGGACTCCTGAGAGGTAGAGTCTGAATTTGGACACAGGGCTGAGGGTTGATGTTTTAGAATGGGGTTTTTGGCGGCCCTCGCGGTCCATTGTGCTGCGAAGCAGCACTCTGGTGACCCTTGGAATCTTGCGATGCCATCCGTGGCACTGGGTTTCGGGTTTCGGGCTTAGGGTCCAAGTTTCCTAAAATCCTAAAGACCTTAAACCTTAAACCGGACTGGTTTGTCCAGCTATGCGGGTGCCAAAAAGCCCTCAAAACCCTGGCGCAAAAAGGGTCCAAGCTTACCAATCTAACGACAAGAGCCGAGGGCTCCATGCCTGAGGTACTATATCCCCCCTTGGGAGTATTTTATATTTTTGTTTAAATGACACCCAAGAGGACAGAAAACAAAAAACATGTTTAAGGTTAGCCGTTACGGTTCTGAAACCCGACAGAGAGAGCCCTCAAGCCAAGAAGCCCCAGAATAGAAAACGCTGATGCGTAGTATCCATAGGGTTTATGGTTTAGGGTTTAGGGTTTTGGGTTTTGGTTTAGGGTTTAGGGTTTAGGGTTCGGTTTAGGGTGTAAAATTGCACGCCCGGTAGTTTTGCTTGGATTTTTCAATCCTTGCAAGGCCAGATGGGATTCTTACAGCATTTGGACAGCGTTGGGGCTTGGTGAGTGCGGGTTTGCTTTGTCATAGTTTGGTATCACTTTACATTTTTAAGGGTACTTAAACCCAAAAAAAAGGAGTGTATTTTTCTTAACTTTATCCAAACAATGAAACAAGTTTGGGGGTAAGGAGCAGCTCTGAGACTCCACGAAGCTGGCCAGGAGCAACAAGAAAACACGAGCACTGCGCTCGAAGCCTGAATCCCTGAACAAGCATCCGACAGTCTCTTGCCCACCCTTTTGAGCCACCTCCCCCCTTCCCCCTCCCCCGCTCCCCGCCCTCCCCCTCCCGCCCCTCCCCCCAAAGAAGGGCAATTTTAAGCAGAATCCTGGACTGACCAAGGCTTGGACGACTTGAGGAATGAAGCAGCCAGGAGCGATGGGACCGGGGGGGGGGTTTGGCTCAGAGCTTCATTTTTGTTGAAAGGTGTTGCTTAGAGTTAGGGCGTGCATACCGGCTTCGGCCTTGAGGCTGGAGCCTTGTGAAGTGGGATGGCTGTTCTACGCCAGAATGGCCTCAGGGAAGTGGTGCGTGTTGGGGAAGCACCGCGGCTTAAAGAACTGATCTGGTCAAAGCTATGAATTCACGACGGCCCTGCAAGCAGGTTGTTTGCCAACTCGCCCGGCAACGCCGTGTTCTTGGGCAACGTGGATGAGGAGCTGTTTGGGCCGCCTGTGGGCACTTGAGATGTGTTTTTTAGGGGTTGCTCGAGTGTTCGAAGAGCTCCTTTTTTGGTGAGTCTTGATGTTGATCAAAACTTTGAGTAAAGGTACGACAGCCCTGGTTATTTGCAGTTGCTGATGCGTCGTCCCGACATGTGCCTCATCTCCCGGGCTTCCCTGTGTCTCCTGTGGAGCTCGGCAGCCCTGACTCAAGGGAAAAAACTCACTTTCTTTCACAATGAGGGCCACTGTATATTTGCATTGTCATAAAGGTAGTTTGGGAGGTAGTGGACATCGGTAGCAGTGTCGTGAGTCAGTCGCCCGAAGGCGCCCATACTGAAGGTGCGACAGGCACGTCAAGAGCCCACTGCTTGAAACCACACCAAAAGTCAACGATGTTATTTTGTGTTGTTTGTTTTTTTGAGAAATATTTTTGTTGTGATGATTATGGTCGCTATCATCATAATATTAACAACCTTCTTATGATATTTATGAATAAAATTACGTCACCCGAAGTCTTTGTGAAAGAAGTTCTCGGCGAGTCTTGGCAAGGAGGACTGCCGACGGCTGTCTGGCATTCTCAGCGAAGGCTGGTCGAGTCTGTAGTGGCTGTAGTGGGGAACCCTAAACCCTAAGCCCTAAGCCCTAAACCCTAAACCCTAAGCCCTAAGCCCTAAGCCCTAAACCCTAAACCCTAAACCCTAAACCCTAAACCCTAAACCCTAAACCCTAAACCCTAAACCCTAGCCCTAAACCCTAAACCCTTTTTAAACCCTAAACCCTCATGCACTTAGGGGGTTTCAGCGTTAAAATAACCATAAGAGCCCTCATGCTGGCCGTTTCTCTAGAAAGGCCAAAGCTTGAAGCGCTTGCCTCCGTTTGGGGCCGTCAACGTTTCCCAAAGCATCGGCCAGACATTTCGGCCCCTGACTCACACCAACATAGCCCTGAGCTGCGGGGTTGCCTTTCTCCCATGCGGGGTTTACGATACTAGGGGTACCGTATTAACTAGGGGCCTTATTTTCAGGGAATCCTACTATTTTGGGGGTCTATATCGGGGATCACCTCAGTCCTGGGTTTTGGGTTTTCGTTACAGGGTTGCAGGGGTGATGTTGTAGGGCTTCAGGCGATGGAGAAAGGAGGTTGGCGTCGCCTCTATCCCTCGCTTTGTGGCCCAAGCATGCTGAAAACCAGCCAATGCAGGGTGCAATTTGTTTAGGTTTGGGTTTACGATGCCCAGGGAGACCGTTGCTGGCAATCCCCTCTCCCAAAGCCTCCCCCCTGTAGGGTTCCCGTCACATCCCCCCATCCCCCTTTAAGCATCCACAAAAGCAACATGCCGCAACCCCTGAGGTCTCGGTCCACTCTGGCAAGGCACCAGCCAGGAGCCGATGTTAGCAGTACACCAGCTGTTTCAGGTCCCGATTGGCAGATTGCACTGATGCTGCCCGCTTCCTGAGTGCGTACGCTTCGCTAGTCGCAGAAGCTGCCCCACAAAGTGCATGTTGAACTGGCTAGACCAATGTGGGCGTTGCCAACGACGTCATCGCTTAGGGCATAGGATGTCAGGGTGTGGGTTAGGAGTCTTGATCCATGTGAACCGGAAGCTCTAATTCCTCGTCGCCCTCTTGGCAGGATACCGGCCCCCACCGACAAGCGCGCCTGCCGCCAGGGCGCACACTTTGGACTCTGTCCCTCGGGTGAGTTCATCCCCTCCCCTTCCCAGTATGAACAGCCCATCAACTGTTATGAGTATGCTATTATGCTACCTATTCCTTGTAGCCTCAACCCAAACGGGACACAAAGGTGAGAGATGGTGAGAGGCGTGTTTTTGCGTAGAGATCTTGGCTCTCCAGGACGAACCCCAACCCAGACGACCGCAACAACTGCGTCGACGTGGTCTTCCAGACCCGCGGCTCTTTTTAGCAGCGGGCATTTGAGGAGATGCATCTCCTGAGCGCGCAGCACCAGCTGTAGTCAAAACAACACACACTAAGCTTTTTTTGGCAAACCCTAAACCCTAACTCTAGGTCTCCCAGGAAACACCTCAACGCCTGGCCCTTAAAGCTTCAGCTATCTGTGGTCGAAGGTAAGGCCTAAGCCCTAAACCCTAAACCCTAAACCCTAAACCCTAAACCCTAAACCCTAAACCCTAAACCCTAAACCCTACACCCTACACCCTACACCCTAAACCCTAAACCCTAAACCCTAAACCCTGACCCGGAAGCTCTCTCTAAGGGTGGAGGCCACCTTGGCGAACTCGTCCCTGATGCATCTCCTGGTTCGGCTGCTCAACAACAAGGCAAGGGTTTAGGGTTTAGGGTTTAGGGTTTAGGGTTTAGGGTCTAGGGTCTAGGGTCTAGGGTCTAGGGTCTAGGGTCTAGGGTTTAGCGCCTGTGAGAGAGAGAGGGTGTAGGGTTTAGGGTTTAGGGCTCAGGGCTTAGGTTGTCTTCTGGGGCAGTGGAGCGCTCTAAACCCCAAACCTGGGGGAGTTTGGGGTATTTGTTCTATCCCTGCCCGGACGTTCAGGTCGAGGGATCGAAGAACCTGAGCGTAACCCTAAGCACGATAATTAAGCCCGAGCTCCGAGAAGCCCCTATGGGGAGTTCGGAAAGCGATAGGCCCCTAACTTCTGGGTACCTTACAGCCTTACATATAAGGATCCTCATTACAATAGGAACCCCACAGGGACCGCGCTTGGAAGAACTGCCCAGAGAGCCGTAGAACACGGCTCAAAAGCGTTGGTCTGCGAAAGCGCAGGCCTGTTGATAGATTCTCGGTGAGTGCGTCCCCTTTGTTTTTAACCGTTTTGATGGGTCCTTGGGTTCTCTTTGAACTGCCGAATCCTGGCAAGGGACGCCTTTTAAAATCCACTTGTATGTCAGCTAGGCAACTAAAACTCTTGGTGAAAGACTTTCCTGGCTCCGTCGTAGTGTCTGGCATCCGTCAGTATGGTTCGCCAAGGTTATCTAAACCCTAAACCCTCGACAACACTCGAGAGTGCTTTGGGTCTTGAGGTTGTTGAAGCCGTCCCCGTCCCTGAATCCCTAGACGACAGCTCCAACTGCCCCAGACAAAGCCCCAAACCCTAAACACCCTAGCAACAAACCTCAAACAGTATACCCGCATGGGCTAAAATACCCTGTAACCCCTCGAAAAGGCCCTTGAAAGGGTTGATTACGGGGGTTATAGGGCCGAATAGCCCATCCTGGTACCCTATACACCCTCATTTGCCTTGTCATTCCGTCCATCCTTTCGCAGGTTTTCCTAGAGCTCCGCACGAAGCAGCAGCTGGGATACTTGGTAGCCTAGTGGTACCCTTCTTTTGGTTCAAAGTTCCCTTATAACAGTAACCAACCCCGAAAAAAGGGTGCCCTTGTACCAATAAGGTTCCTGGGCTACTAAGGATATATTGTGGACCTGAGCTACTCGGACGGCAACGGACTCTTGGACGGCACCTAGCATCAACATGCCACGATGAACTCAACCGTCGGGCATGAAACCCTTTAGCCTCATCAGGGGGGGTGGGGTTTAGGGTTTTGGGTTTTGGGTTTTGGGTTTAAGGTTTAGGCATCCTATTCCTTCACTAGGGGAGTTTGGAGAAGCCCTAAGCTGAATGCCCTACGAAAAGGTCGCCTTTGTGGTTTTTTACGTTGCCCAAATGCTACTTGAAGAGGCCCTGAGCTTGCAACAGGAAGAGAGCCGCAGCCACGTACTAAGCTTCGCTGGTAAGAGTTTCTCGCGCTGGCTGACCATTCTCGGCCGGGGCCCACGCAGAGATGCTGTCGTGGTTTTAAGCTCAAGATCCCTCCCCAACCCCCCAATACACCCTTTAACCTGAAGCCCTGAACCGCCCCCCCCCCCCCCCCCCCCCCCCCCCAAACCGGCAAAACCCTATAGACCCGACACCCAACCCTAAACTACCTTAGTAGCTGAGTGAGTACACTTTACACTTTTTGGGATACTATAACCCCCTCAACAACCCAGCTACAGACCCAGGATTCCTCCACCTCCAGTGCATCCTACAGTCCGAGTTCAGGCCCGAGTACGTCCGAGGCACCCTGGCATCACAGGCTTCTTCGAATCAGGGTTTAGGGTGCTCTGCAACCTGCAACCTAACCCCGAAAACATGGCTCACGGATTTCGGAGTTGGGAGCTTGGGTTGCCTGCCGGTTGGGATATCGGGATTTCCCGGTTGAAGAATTAGGGTTTAGTGGGTTGCCCCAAGCCTTCGTCTTCCCAGTGGGCTTTAGGGTTTCGGGTTTAGGAAACCCTGAACCCTAAACCCTAAACCCTGCAGTTCAACGTTGGTGTTTTTCGGCCTCCCGGAGGCCGCATCGAGTCCTGCCTGGATGATCTCTTCCGCTGGGCGCAAGAAGAGCTGACGGACTGAGGGGGGAGGGGGGGGGTTGCAGGGTTTCGGGTCGTAGGGTCGTAGGGTCGTAGGGTTTAGGGTTTAGGTTTTTTTTTTTTTTCCGGGTTTAGGGTTTTGGGTTTCGGGTTTAGATTTTAGGGTTTCGGGTTTAGATTTTAGGGTGTAGGGTGGTCGGGTTTTAGGTTGACAGATCTGGGGAGCCGAGGCCCTGTCAGAAAGCAAGAAAGCACAAGGATCGAGGTCCCTGAACCCGACAATACCCGAAGCCCCAAACCCAGCACAGGTTCGGTCTCACCCTGAAAACCCTAAACGGGTTTAGGGTTTAGGGTTTAGGGTTTAGGGTTTAGGGTTTAGGTGGAGCTGTCCAGGAAAGACAAGTAGCCGACGTAGAGCCCTGCTTCCAGGAGATGGAGTTTGCCAAAGTCCGGGAAGGCTTCTCGGCGATCTTGGAACCCTAAAACCCCCTAAAACCCCCTTAGAGGAGCTGAGGATTTACGGCTTGGAGATGTTTGGAGTTTTGGGCTTCGGGGAGGAGGGGGAAGGGGGCTCCGGGGGATTTTGAGCTTGGGAAAACTCAAGTTCACCGTCCTGCTCCATCTGCACACCCAAATCCCTAGGCACCCGAAACTCAAAACCCACGAGAAGGCCCCAAACCCTAAACCCAATCACTCCAGGATTGGTCTCGATTCTCTCGGAAGCTCCTAAGAACCTCAGGGAGGAGAACTCCAGATACTGGAACGAGGCCATATGGGGGGGACCTCCGAGGGCACGTTTAGGGTTTAGGGTTTAGGGTTTAGGGCTGGGAGGGGCTTCGGGGCTAGGATTGGAGAGGGTGGGGTTGGGTAGCCCATTCATGGGGATCCAGGCTCGATTTCTTGGGCCACTATGGCAGTTCTTAACCTCATGTCCACGATATCTCGGGAAACTTTCAAGGTTGAGGGAGTTAGGGGTTTAGGGTTTAGGGTTTAGGGTTCAGGGTGTTTTGCAATGGCGCGAAACAAAGCGTCCTGCTTGGCCTTTCTTGTGGGTCCCTGCCATGTGGCTCTTCCCCTTCCCCCTTTTGGGTTTAGGGTTTGGGGTTTGGGGTTTGGGGGCACGGCAGCTGTGGATTCCTTGTCAAGTCCTTGGTGCCCCGGGTCAACTTCCGTTCGCCTTCTTAGTTTGCAAGGGGTAAAGTCTTGCGCTCTGAGGGTCCTCGGGGTGTATCCAGGACTCGACGCTTTGATCGAAATCTTTCTCTCTTCCCCAATAGTCAAACAGTTTTAGTCTTGGGTTGTGCATTCTTAGGGTTTAGGGTTTAGGGGAACGGTTCAGAGAGTTGTCTGACCCGGAGCAAAAAGGGGGAACGGGTTGCTACCCAACCGCCCACAGACCTTGTTTCTGCTGGTGGCGGGCTGGGGGTGGGGATCCCACAAAGGCAGGGGAGCCCCAGGTATGTAAGCCTTTCTGGATCTACGGCCGTGTCACAGACACATGAATCCTCAAATTGCGTCCGTGCCGCTTGAGGTCGGTCCCAGGAGGTAGAATGTTTAACATATATCAGCAAAAGTATGTACAGGTATTGAATCAGATTTACATGCGCGTATGTACGTATGTATGTATGTATGTATGTATGTATGTATGCATGTATGCATGCATGTATGTATATGTATATGTATATGTATATGTATATGTATATGTATAATATCAGTTATATAAATATACATATATATATATATATACATATATATACATACATATATATATACATACATACATATATATATATATGCATATGTACATATATATATATAGTAATGAAAATACCATCATCGAAGCTAGTTGCTCAAGGCTTAAAGCCGCGGACCATCCCAGGTCAGCCGCCAGCGATACGACTTCGAGCGCCGCACACGAAAGTGCAAAGCAGTGGAGGGAACGAGCCTGGAGGATCGAAGGGTTTAGGGTTTGGGGGGAGTGCTTTCTCTCGCTAGCAGGTACCGGCATGGCTCTCAGACCGGGTTCAAAACGGGCTTAGGGGAGGAGCCTGGGTTGAAAAAAGGTTTGAGGTCTAACCCTAAATCCTAAACCCTAAACCCTAAACCCTATGTTTGTTAGCTGCTTGATGGAAGTGCGGACTTTCATGTGCTCGCCGCCACTGGCACCAAGTTCACACCCCAAGGTCCATGCTCAAGGCGCTGCACCTCCCTTCACATCCTACTTTGGGGGAGGTGCAGTTGTCCCAACCCTCACCCCTAAACTCTATTATAATCTAATCTAAGCCCCCTTGGTGGCCTATGATTCTATGAATACTAGCATATAAGACATGCAGCTAACGGAAGATGCCTATGCAGAGAATGGGCGAAGGTGAGCCGCTAGGGCTCGGGCGACGAGAATGCGGCTGGCTTCGCACACCATTCCTGAACAGAGTAACGGCAGGCCTCGGACCTTGCCATATTTTAGGGTTTGGGGTTCAGGGTGCTACCCTAAACCCTAGTGGAGTGGCGTTGTGTGGGCGAGCGAGTGACAGGCGTCTGTTGAACTTGGAATCCCTGCGGAGTGGTTCGTCCAGCTATGCGGGTGCCAACCAAAACCCTAAACCCTAAACCCTCAACCCTAAACCCAAGCGCACAGGACTTCCGACGCTTCGTGGCCCAGCTGCATTCTGCACCGCAGCTGTGCATCGAGGCCGGCCGGCTGTAGGGTTTGTTTGGGGTTTAGGGTTTAGGGTTTAGGTTTAGGGTTTAGGGTTTAGGTTTAGGGTTTAGGGTTTAGGGTTTAGGGTTTAGGGTTTAGGGTTTAGGGTTTAGGGTTTAGGGTTTAGGGGGCTTTGACATTGGGTGGGTTTATCGGGTTTGGAGTTCTGGTGTTGGGTTTTGGGTTTAGGTGTTTTCGGGTTTAGCGCTTGGAGTGTTGGACGGTTCTGGGCTTTCAGGATGAGTTGTGAAGTAGTATCATTGCCTATATGTCTCCCTAAACCCTTCTCCCTAAACGTTCAACCCTGCTTTGGTTTTCAGCTCACAGGGCTGTGAGGGGGTTCGACTCTTCCTGTGCGACCTTAGGATTGCAGGGTTTAGGGTCAAGGGGGCTTCGTCCTTAAACAAGAAGAGTCTTAGTGTGGAGTCGGCGCTTGACTTATAACCCTAATAGGTACCCCTGAACCTCCAAGCAAGAGCCCTATGTTTACAAGGGGCCCCGTCAGCCCTATGTGAGTCACTTTGAGCAGCGAAGCCCCTCAACCCAAACAACATGGGTCAGAGATGGGCCCCCGCACTTTCTGGGGTGTCCATAAACGAACCTACTTGGGGGAGTCCATATGAAGGGAAACCCTAAACCCTAAACCCTAAACCATAGAAACCCAAAACATGGACACCAGCTGCGCGTCAGCTGATGTCCCGACGCTCCCCTCCCCACGCCATATCCCCCGCCCCCCCTTCCCCAAGGTTCCCAAGTAGTTCTTCAACCCTTTTGACCCCTTAGGCTCTTCAACCCGTACGCCCTTAAGCCCTCACACTCCTAAAAACCCCAAAAACCCTCAACACCCTCAAGACCCTCGAGCTCTGAACCCCGAAACTCTTAAACTCTCGAACGGTTCAACCCCAAGCCTGCGGGGGCAGAAACTCCCCAGGTCTCCAGCCAGTTCCTTGCCAGCTCTTTCAGCCCAACCGATCCTATGGATGACACCCGGGGCCTTCCATGTTTACTGCGTCTTCTAGGGTTTAAGGTCTGGAGATTAGGGTTTTTGACCCCTTGCCTTCCATGTTTACTGCGTCTTCTGGGGTTTAAGGTTTAGAGATTAGGGTTTTAGGCTGCAGGAATCCGGTACAGCCCAACACTCCCATGCCCTTAACCTTACAAGCTCTGAACCTCGGCAGATCCGACGTCCTGAAGCCCTAGAGCCAACAAGGAAAGCCTTCATACCCCTAAACCCTAAACCTCTAAAACCCTGTAGGTTTCAGACCCTTTGAGCTCTGGACCGTCATCCTCTCAACAGCCCTCTTCTGCCCCCTGATCCCCGAACTCTCATAGTTCACGCCTGCATTGGGTGATTGAATCATGGGTGTAGGGTTTAGGTCTTCAATTATGTGCCCTAAACCCTTGACCCTTAGCCCCTAAACCTCAAACCCAAGAGCCCCATGAACCCTAGACGCTGCGACACAAACTCAAAACCACGCCCCAAAAATCTGATAATCCTAGAAAGCTAAACCGAAATGCGACTAGACCCGCTCAACTCTATAAATCCCGTAAACTTAAACCCTAAACCCTAATTCCCCTACATAAACCCGACAAAGCCCTAAGCCCTGCAGTCCCTAGTTCCCCTAAACCCGCAATCCAGGTCCGATCCCCGCCCGGATCCGCAGACCGCGACGCCCTTGTCGGTGGACCGGACCTGGCACGGGGACGAGGTTGGGTGCGGTGTTGAAGGTTTATAGGGTTTCGTGTTTATAGGGTTGAGTCTAACCGGGTTTATGGGGTTTAGAGCTTTAAAAGTTTAAGCCTTTGAGGATTCAGGGGGCTTGGGGTTTGGTTTTGAGGTTTGGGCGGGCGTAGGTTGAGGGTTTCAGGGCAAAGGGTGGGGTGTAGCGTTTAGATTCACGGGGGTTTGGGGTATAAACCAAAGTAAATATGTATGAATCATTGAACCTCATTAAATAAGCGTAGTAAACAAATATAAATATAGACGTATAAACATATAAATCAAATATAGATTATATATATATATAACATACATGAAAAAACAAATGTAAATAACTAAATAAAGCATATATATATATATATGTATATGCATTGGACTCCGTAAGAATCGGTTTCCGAAAGTGCCGCAGGCACGTGTGGAGTTCCGGCGCAGTGCTGAGTGGGTTCTCACCGAGGAGAAGGATCAAATCCTCGCACGCTTGTGAATTGTGATGCCCTGCTCCACGTCCACTGCTCCGCCCTTGGTTTAGGGTATAGGGTTTATAGGGTTTAGGGTTTATAGGGTTCATGATTAGGGCTTAGGGTTCAGGGTAAGGTCGTTCCTAAGCCTGAGAAGCACGCTCGTTATTTATGGTCACATTTGGGGCTACATGTGCCGCAAGGGGCTTTGATCGGCGTAAAGAAAGAGTCGTGCTCAGTCTTCTCAGTGCCGCAAGAATATTGCCATATTGCTTTTGTTGCAATAAACGAATCATCATAGTACATAGTGGCAATAATCATCATAATCATCAGAAAGGCAATCGTTAGAATGCGACCATCGGTGGACGACGCCAGGGCATCCCTGTATAGCACTCCCATTGCTTCCCACCGGGGATTTTCGCGAAGCGTTGCTTGCGGGGCTTGCAAGCTGTTTATGGCTTAGGTTGTGGGGTTTAGGGTACGACTTAAGGTTTCGGAGTGATTCTGTACTCGATTTGTCAAGGCATCGTCCCCTACATCCCTGGTGCAAGAACTAAGCCCTTGACCCAGTGCAAGCCTGCAGTGTGCACAAGGAGTATTGGGGTTTATTGCTTATAAGGTTTAGGGTTTAGGGTTTCTGGTTTAGGGTTTAGGGTTTAGGGCCCACAAGGACTTCGAGCTTTGAGATATGAACCGATCTAGGGGTTCAGAGGAATCTGAGACAAACCAACCTGCAGTCTCCACCTAAGTAAGGCACCAGGCGCTAGAAACACTGAAGCCGAATCCCTAAACCCGAAGTTCTGAATCCTTCAACCCTAAACCCTAAACCCTAAACCCTAAACCCTAAACCCTAAACCCTAAACCGTTCTGATTCCTTCAACCTCAAGTTGGGAACCTTAAGCCGTAAATCCTGCAGTCTAAGCCCTAAACCCTCCCTATTGATAAATCAGCCAATCCCTCTCCAGCCTGTTTACATCAAGGCTGCTCTACTGTAGCCCCCTAGGGGATTTAGATGTGTTGTTTTTGAAATTTTGGTTTGCTTAGTCCCCAAAGAAGTATGGAACGAAGTATGCGCGCTAAACCCTAAAGCCTGTTTAGAGTAAGTTCTGGCATCCGCACTTTCCCTAAGCTGCACGCTCTCCAGACAACTTTGCACATTCAGGGAATCCGACGACGCCTGGCCTTCCCCGGCGCCAGAGTACAAAAGAAGCGCATTCCCGGGGTCTGATGACATCTGAGCATGTTTTGGGCTGAGGGCGGAGAGTTGGGATCACGCTACGCTCGTTCTCTATTAGCAAGCTCTCTATCACCATGAATTAATACTATTACCGCGGGCTATTATTTATTATCTTCTTTCACCCGCGGATAAGCGAATAATAGTATAATAAAGCGAATTAAATTAAATTGTCAATCATTAGACTCACTACGTAATATCAATATTAATACGCTCATTAGAAGACGGCTGTTGCGGCGGACACAATAGATTTCCTGTCCGTAATAATATAATTCATGTGTTCCCTTTTTACCTTTTATTTCGTAGAGAATGGAATGAACGAACGAAACGAGAGAACGGATTATATGAATGAAACGAGAGAAAAGACCAGACAAAGAAAAGAATAATCCCAACAATTATTATTATTAGGGCTTTTGTCCCCCGTTCTCTATTATTAATATTCTCTTCGTAACATTACAAGAAAGAGAAGCGAATAAAATAATGTGAGAACGAAATGAAAGAACGAAACATGAAATCCAAACATAAGGTGTGTTCACTGGTGCTTAAGGTGTACTATATTTCTATGATCTGTTTCATTTTGATCAAAGAACGAACGAATGTGATAAGGAAAGTGCATTATTAACCAAAAGATAGGAACAATGCGTATTATTATGAAGGAGCACGCCCGGAGAAGAATATTATTAGGGCTTTTGTCCCCCGTTCATCTGTGGTGGATTCTTGGGCAGTTAAGGTGTCATGAGATTGAGGACTTACCATTCACTTTTGGTATTAACCGGACAACTAACTCTTCTAGTCCGGAATCAAGGGCCCAGAGCCCTGCTCGGCCCCTCCACCCCCCAAGCAGGGTTTAGTTGAGGGTTCAGGTTTTGGGGTCTTGCGCCGGGTTCGGAAAGGGTTAAGTTGTATAGGGCACCACAAGTACATGGCTTGTGGGCTCTGATCCCAAAATTGGCGACTGTGGTGCACAAACCCTGAACCCGATACCCTAATCTACTAGTTGCTTAAGAACCCCGAAAAATAGAAATATTCTTCCTTACTAAGGGTAACATAAGGATTATTTATTGTATTTGTTTTATTCTTTTGGGGTTCTTAAGCAAATAGTAGCAATCCAAACCGCCCATTATGTCAGCCCCCAATCCCTTAGTCCTTCCTCAGGTCGTCAGAGGTTCGGCAGGCCGACGCCCCCCCCCCCCCCCCCCGCCCGGGACGACTTCAAAGTCACAGTTGCCCCTAAACCCTAAACCCTCCTGCGAACCTGGTTCTTTTGGCCCATGAAGCAAGAATCCCCAAATCAAGCTCCTCATCAGCTAAGATCCCCGAAAACCAAACCCCCCCCCCCCCCCCAAATCCCCCCACAGAGACACACTTACTATTCCTATTCTACTATTTGCTTAAGAACCCCAAAAGAAGAAGAAACAATAAAATCCCCATATTTCCCTTAGTAAGGAAGAATCTCTTTATTTCTTCGGGGTTCTTAAGCAATTCGTAGTTCTCTGCAACCCTAAACTCTAAACCCTAAACCTTATACCCTAAACCCTAAACCCTGAACCCTGAACCCTAAACCCTAAACCCTAAACCCTAAACCCTAAACCCTAAACCCTAAACCCTAAACCCTAGCAAGTAGTAGTATTCTGTGGCAGGAACAGCGCCGAGCTGCACTTGAGCGCATGGCCCAGCCACTTGGCCCACAGAGCATTCACTGCCTCCGTAAAATCCCCTGTGAAAAGGGTCACCCTAAACCCTAAACCCTCAGGTTCAGCCCTAATCCTACAGCCCCCTTGGGAATCATTGTTTTTTCTCCGCTTGGGTCCGTCAAGCTCTTGCATCGTCTTCGGGCCCATCGGCAAGCGTGGTGCTGGAGTTCTCGCGGGACGCCGGAGACTCGTGCAGGTGTCGGGGGCTTGCCCTACGGCCGTCCATGCTCTCTGCCTTGGTGTGGGATGGACGCATCCTGCACCACCTGGGCATTTGCCGGTAGTGAGTGAGGCTTAAGCAAAGCAGTTTTGTTCCACCCTCAGAAGTAGGCGTGGAGACATAGGCTTAGTACAACCAGTAGAGCAGTCTTTGCGGTTGCATATGGTTTTTTAAGTATTTTTGTTTGTATAAACCCCAAGAGGGCATGAAACATATTATTGTTATTAAGGTTCTAAGGGGAGTATAGAAACACCACACCCTTGACCCACAACCCTATAACCCTAAACCCTATCAACAACAACCCTGGACCGCAAGCCCCGAACCCCCGAATCCTCAACTTACTGGTTCTTCATAGGGAAGTCGGGAAGTAGGTTTTGTGTTTTTGCGCTTTTTTCGATGTCCAGGCTTTCGCCCACGGAGCTCGAGCAGTTGCCGCACAGCACCAAGGCGGCGCAGTCCGATCCATGTCGCTTCTTATAAGGTCTTCAGGGTTTAGGGTTTAGGCAGGCACTAGGATTCCCTTAAACTCATCAAAAGGCTCTCCACTGCTGTACTGGACTTTCAGCATCCTCTGGCGATACTGCTGCCAAGTATCGCTACGACTATAGGTGGGTCCACGCCGCTTGAAAGGTTCCTGTCTTTAGGGCTTGAGTGAAGGCTTGCTTGTCAGTTTGCATGCTGTACGCCGATCAGTCAATTTGTATCAAATTTTTGGGGCGCCCGTTGTATGTGAATCAGCAGACGACCTGCGGCTTGAAATCAACAAGGCGCACCTTTGCCGCACAAATTAGAGTCTGTTGCCGAGGTGCAGCTTCTGGAATACCTCAAGCAGTCCAACCCGCAGAAGCAGACCGTCAAAGTGGAGCCTGGGCGCTACGGATAGTTCCCTTCGGTGGCGGAAGAGAAAAAATGAGTCCTTCTTTTCGATGTGGATCTCGGTCAAAAGTCATGGTGTTGGATGTTTACCCCGCATTCACAGCCAACAAAAAAATGCCCTGCAGTAGGGGCTACCGCGAACGCTGTTTTGGTTGCTTTCCACGTAGATAAATGACAAGTAGAGCGTCCATGTAGCCCGTGTTGGTAGATGGCAACCGTCAACAGCTTGATGGGGGTTTGTGGTTGGCGCTGGGGAGGGGGACCGGGGGGGGGGGCAGGGCGGCCATGAAATGGCTCCCATGGACACTCACGCAAGCGATTCAGTCACACGCTTGAACTCGATCCCCATGTGCAGCCTAGCCTGGAATGAGCTGCAGCTTTATCCTCCTCAACATTTTTGGTTGTGTTTGCGCTTCACGTTTCGGATTCGCGGTTCCGCCATCGTCATTTGCAGGAACTCGTCCGCACATCGCTTTTGCCGCAAAAGCGATGCTTTAGCCCAGCCAATGCCCGGTGTAATAAATCGCCGGTTCTGTCAATCATTTCAGTCCCTCAGCTACACAGGCAATGTGATCAATACGCAACTGTCATTTTTGCACCCTAAATAACGCACTAGCCCTAAACCTTAAACCCTCAAGTCTGGGCCCTAAAATGCCCTAAACCATATTTATCAACCCTAAACCCTCAACCTTTTCACACCCTAAACCCATGGCCTTGCGTTGGCCCTGCCGCCATGGCACAACAACGCCGGCTGCGTTTGGCAAGGCGCGGAGCCAGGTCAGCCCCTTCGGGTTTAAGGGTTGGTTTGTTTTTTTTCCTTAGCGCCCTTTAAGTTATGCAACTGTCTTTGAAATCATCCGGGGCTCATGTAAATTATGCTGTCTTAACTACTCAACTACTCCCCACACCGAGTTCAGTCTCCGTGGCTTTGAACCTCCTCCCCTAAACCCTGAACCCTGAACCCTAAACCCTAAACCCTAAACCCTAAACCCATTCTGTTTTTACATAATCGCAGGCGCCCCGATCGGCTCGTCCAACGAGAAGAGCTTTCAAGGCTCCCATTAAGGGCTTAGGGTTTAGGATTTAGGGCTTAGGGTTTAGGGTTTAGGGTTTAGGGTTTAGAGGGTTTAGGGTTTCGGGTATCATGTTCGGCTGATGGGATATTCGGAGTGTTGAACTTGGGCGTTTCCAAGTCAGGAGCCCGAAAAGTCACCTTTGAAGTCCCGATTCAACTTCTAAACGCTTGCTTACACTTGCTTACGCGCCGCCTCGGCAACCGGAAGGCCCCAAACCATGCATTCCACTCTTGACGCTACAGCTTCAGATGCTGCCCACAAGTCCCAAGGGGTTTTGAGGATTTGGTGGTTGTTGGGGAGTCCTCGCAGCGGCCGGAGTCTGCTCCTAGCTTGCACTGGACACTTCTGACGACGAACAAAAATTGAAGCATCGGGAAGCTATGTGAAGCTGCAGCTCACAAAAAAGCCAAGCGGCCACTGAACAAATGAAAGCGACTGTTGTTTTTCAACTGTGTTTTGCGGACATCGATGGCGCGTCGAAAGGCTATGTGAATGCACCCGAGCTATAGGCGCTGGAAGTAAAGATGCAAGGCATGCTGGGGAATCAACCTCTTTCTTTCGTCCAGGTGCTGTGTATGATGAACGATCGAGAAGCACTTTCAACCCGATGTAAGCCCTATACATTGACGAACCAACGCAGGCCGTTCAGCATGGCGCCGTCCCGGCCCTCACGGGCACGGCGCTGCTTTGGTCGCGAGGCGTGGCCGGAAGCAATGATGAAACGAGTTGGGGGCTGTTGGCATACAAAGGCCCGAACCCCAAACCCTGAAGGATGTCCCCAAAGTTGCGAAAACGATGAAGTTCTGAGCCAGAAGCCGAAGCCTGGAACTTGCCTTTTAGTTTTCTACTTTGTAAATGTCGCTAGATCCTGTCAGAGCGAATTGGAGCCTTCGAGGCGTAATCGCACCGTTGCGACCATGTGCAGCTTTTGCATGGAACATGTTTCCCAAGACCCATACGTCAAAGCTTGCTTTGACCATGAAGTGCAAGTTCGGCCTTTGTAAGGGTATTGTATTGTTTAGGAAATCCCACTAAACCCTAAGTTCAACCGTAGAGCGCAATATGTCAGCAGACCCCAGGATCTCGCTCACGTCGGCGCGCTTCGCGGCTTCCCTGCAAGTTCCGCTCCGAGTGGCGCGAGGCCTGCGAGCTCATGATGGTTGGGGGCATAGGGGGTTGTACGGTTTAGGGTTCAGGGTTTAGGGTTTAGGGTTTAGGGTTTAGGGTTTAGGGTTTAGGGTGTACGATCATCAGGGTACCTTAGTGGGGGCCCTTTTACCGTTCGAGGGTCTATATTAGGGCTCCCCTAGATTCGTAAAGTTCCAAAGGGTTTGTAGGCAGCTTTGGTTTTTCGGCAGGTAGGGCTTATGGGGTAAGCATGGGAGTTTAAGAAGGCTTACATCGGCTGTTCCTGAAAAGTGATGTTTTTTTTTTTTTTTGCAGCTTCTACCCGAAGCCCTCAAGACCCAAACCCTGTACCCTGCTCCCTTCTGGGCCTGAAGAGAAGACACCCGTAACCGTGAGATACCCCTTATTTGCGCTATACCCCAAGGGCCCAGACTTCAGAACCTTTTAAAGAGGGTGAGGAACCATATCAAGGGACCATGCACCTGGAGACCCCAAACCCTAAACCGTAAACCCTAAACCCTAAACCCTACCTGTGTGCCTCGCCTGGCTTGTCCGAGTGTGAGCGATTAAACCCTAAACCCTAAACCCTAAACCCTAAACCCTAAACCCTAAACCCTAAACCCCAAACAAGGGTTTTCGGGTTTGTCGGGTTTAGGGTTTAGAGCAGCCGACCCTGCGTCAGGTGGCAGGGTGCCCGGTGTATCTTCCCGCCTCCAGCGAGGCCTGGAAGCTTTTTAGGAGTGTTTGGGGTTTAGGGTTTAGGGTTTAGGGGTTTGAGTCTGGGATTGATTGCCTTGATTCCTCTTTCGTAGGATCCCTATGTAAGCCTCAGTGCGCCCAAAAAGGGGGCCTTGTGTTCTCCCAGTAAAGGGTTTAGTTGCAATTGTTACCGGGATGATGGGCTTCGAACCTACTGTGTTCAAGCTGCTGAGGGTGTAAGTGCTTAGGTGCCTAGTGGTTTAGGGGTTCTAGGGGTTCTAGAAGTTCGAGGGGTTCGAGGGGTTCTAGGGGTTTAGTTTCAGGCTTGGTGAGAGTGAAGAATTGCGTAGCGGTAAGCTTGTGGACCGTAGGCCCACGACTATGGGGGATCACTGCAATATTCTAATCTCAGGTCTAAGGGTTTCGGGTTTAGGGCGGTTTTTGCTCCTAAGACCTGACAGTTCCCCAATCGGACGCTCCGCAGATGACCCTCGCTGAGGAATCTACCTTACGTCCTCCCCCTAAACCCTTTAACACCAGACAAGGATGCCGAGTAATGCCCTTCCCCCTTTTCGAGGTAGGTTCCCTCAGCAACCCCCCAAACCTTGGTAGCTGAGTGAGTGCACTTTACACTTTTTGGGATACTATAATCCCCTGGAAAACTGAAAGTGTGCACTTTTTGGGGGCTCATGAACTCAGCAACTAAGAAACCAAGCTGGACACCTTTCTATCATTTCCCACGGCCCCAGGGTACCGGGCAACCTAGTTCTATAGCTTGCGGCATACAGGTACCCGAAAAGGGTTTCGATTCCCAGCTTAGGCTCCCTAATCTCTACAGGGTGGGGCCCCTCAGTTATAAATTGATTTATAACCTCTATAAATCAATTTATAACTTTCCTAACATAAATTATAAGTTGTTAAGTTCATGGTTTAGTTATAAATTATTTGTCCAAGATATAAGTTAGTTATAAGTTTTGTGTGCCCAACTTATAAGTAACTTATACAACTTAGCTTTAAAAAACCGTGTTTTCATGAGATCCATGCTCGCGACTGTGAGATATAGGATTTTGCAAGGTTATTGGCTCGGAACGATTGTTTTTCAAGTTCTAATCTCGAGGAGTTTCCACAGCTGATGTTCCGGGCCGGGCCGTGTTTTGCGAAGCCTTTGGCTTGGCACGCATTCGGGTCACATTCGGACATATACACCGACACGTCGGGGACACATCCGGACACATCCGGCACACACGGGGGACACATTGGGAACACATAGTGCAAAAGAGGGTGGACACACAGGAAAACACCGGACACACTGCAAAAAATGGGGCGGACACACCGGACACATCGCGGATATATCGCGGACACATCGGGTTTTCGACACACGCGGGGCACAGGCGGACACATCGCGGACACATCCCCACATCCCAAGCGCATGCGCTAAACGTTTTGTGTCCTTGCCTGCAGCCGTTTTGTTTCCTGTCTCAGCCAGACAGCTTTCGTTTCTCCGCAACACCAACTTGCTTTGAGATGGCGTTGCAGGGCCAAGAGACGCCTCTTCTTGAAGAGCGCCCAAAAACCTCTTCTTTTAAGACATGGGCTCTGCATGATGATTTTTACTACAAAAACAACATTTTGTAACTTATAAATCAACTTATAAGTTGGCTAACTAACTTAGCAAACTTAGTGTATAAGTTAGTTATAAGTGCTCTAAATTACATATAAGTATCTTAACTTACTTATAACTAAGGGGCCCCACCCTGTAGCGCCTCCTCCCGTAAACCCCAAACACGAAACACTAAACCCTAAAACCCTGAACCTCAAACCCTAAACCCTAAGCCCTAGACCTTAAACCCTAAACCGTAAACCCTAAAACCCTAAAACTTAAACCCTAAACCCTAAGCCCTAAGCCCTAAACCCTAAACCCGAAACCCTACACCCTAAACCCTGAACACTAAACCCTAAAACCTAACCCCAAACCCCAAACCCCAAACCCTAAACCCTAAACCCTAAACCCTAAGCCCTAAGCCCTAAACCTAAACCCTAAACCCCGCAAGGGATCGCGACCGACTTGTGTGCTGCACTTCGTCGGTAGCTCCTGGGCATCGGCTGCCCCGCGGCTAGTGTGCCCTGGCAGCGGCCGCAAGCAGTAATTCTTTGGGTTTAGGGTTTGGGGTTTGGGGTTTGGGGTTTAGGGTTTAGGGTTTAGGGTTTAGGGTTTAGGGTTTAGGGTTTGCGCGTGTTGAGGCTCTACTTGTGACTCCCAAACCCTAGAACATTTGTAGGAGATTGAATCCGCCCTAAATGTAAGGGATAGCCCCGAAACAGTAGGCGAATAGAGCCCCAGGTAGTCCCCAGACCCTAAGCTCTTGAACCTGTAAACTGCCCTTAGCCCTTAGTCCCTAGACACCCTAAGTCCCCAGAAGCATTTGGTACATGGCTTTCGGCAGCTCACGCTCATGCGTGCTGATTTGGAACAAGAATGAGCCTCTCCAGCTCTCAGTGTTTGTAGGGTTTCGGAGTTGCGCGTTCAGGGTTTGAGTTCAGGCTTTGTAGGGTTGCGGGGTTGCGTTTTTTTTTTTTGAGTAGGCCTTCCAGCCCAGGGTTCGAAAATTCACGAGAAAAAGGGCTGTCACTCCGCCCAAAGTCTCAAAAGCATCCCGTGGTGTGCGTCCTAACGAAGCAGAGAGCAAGCTGAGGAGCTAAATTTGTTTTAAGGGTTTAGGGTTTAGGGTTTAGGATTTTTGGTTTTGGGTTTGTGGTTTGGGGTTTGGGGTTCAGGGTGTCAGGTTGAGGGTTTAGGGCTGGGTTTCTCGCTGTTGTTCAAGGTACAGGCAATTCTTGGAGGTGATCTCCGAGGAAACAGGCTCGCCAACCGATGCTGCTGCGGGTTGAAGGCTAGCGGTTTCCTGTTCAAGTTGGGGCCAGCATTCTTTTTCATCAAAGGTCGTGTAGCAGCCACTTTGGGGCAGTTTGCATCGATCTATGTCCCGTGTTATAGGCTCGGGCTGCGATTTCCTTAGTTCTTACAACACTTATAGTTGACAACTGAAGAGGCCCAAAGTTTAGATGAAACCCTCCATGTGGATATCGGAAGACCCAGGTCTTTTCCAGGATGGGCCTAGACCTTAGCATCCCCAAGTAGTTCGCTCTAGAGGGGGTTTTTGTAAAGGAAATAAACCTACCGTGGGGGGCCTTTGCAGTGACGAAATCAGGTCTCGCAAGAGCCTCCTGAAAGGTCCAATCTCTAAAGGGCCGTTTTGAAGGACGAAGGCTGTCAAGGGCATGTTTTAAGTGATTAAATGGTGTAAGAATCAGACCACCTTGGCCGGCCCGAGATGTGGAGCTATTAGACCCGAAGTAGTGGTCTAGAGTTTACAGTAGGGTTTAGGGTTCAGGGTGTATATCTTAATCTCATTGAGGGGGTGGGGCGCTGGTGCTAAAATGCACCCAAGCCCGCGCCCCGAGTCGCGCATCCCCTCCGTTGCTTGCGCTCAACCCTCGTTTTGGCTTTGCAGGTGTAAGGTTCCGTTGCCTCCAAGTCTGAGCTTTGGGTGTTGGGGGCTGGCTGACACGCCTCGAATCCCTGGCAAGCCTAGCAAGGGAGTTGTTTAAGGGTTTCTGCATGGAGGCGCCGTCGTCGTGGCCACGCCTTGTGACGCCACGTTGGATCAGGATGCTGCCGCGGTGAAGGTGGCTGTGATGCAAGCTTCGTGCATCATGTGGGCGTATCCCGCAAGAACATGTCCCGAAGCGCCTTTTTGTTTTCGAAACCCCAAAAGGGTACCCTTAGGAAACCCCTCATGTGGCTCAAGCTTGCTCAATGCATACAAAGTGCTCAAGCAGAAAGCCGTCCAGCCCTAAAGGCCCTAAAGGCCCTAAACCCAACCCTTGCAACCCTGACTCATCCTAAACCCTGCAGTAAACTGCAGCCCTCGACGCCCAAACGTTATACAACCCAAACACCTTAGAATCCTCCAACCCTAAACCCTAAACCCTAAACCCTAAACCCTATACCCTATAAACCCTAAACCCTAAACCCTAAACCCTCGAATCTGCATCCTAAAATTGTAAGCATTCAGACCCTAGACCCTGAAGGCCTATAAACGTGTTGAATTTCGAGCCTGCACGCCGACTTAGCGCCCTAAACCCTAAACCCTAAACCCTAAACCCTAAACCCTAAACCCTTTGAGGTGGCCGAGCTGGTGGATGCCGCCCTTCTGTCCTTGCAAAGTCGAGGCGGCTGAGGGCGTTGGGGGTTTCGTCCTCGCTATAGGGTAGTTGGTGTGTTATACTTCGGTTTAGTAGGTTAGAACCCTTTTCAGGTCTAGAGCTTATACTAAATCCCTAAACCCTGAATCAGAACTGCTTCCTGAAACTTAAAAGTCAAATGTTGTGCCCTCGAGTTGCTCGTGCTGGCATGCTTCAGGTGTCGCCTCACATCAGGTGGTTTAGGGTTACCGTGGACCTAAACCTAAAACCACTCTTCGCGACGTTTGTATGACGTTATCAAAAGCCTCGTATCCTAAAGGAAAGGGTGGTCGTGAAGTTGTTGCCCGCCAGCTGTGTCGATGTATATTAGAACTAGAACTGAAATTTGCAGGGTCCTTTTGTAAGCGACCACAAGAGACGGCCTATTACAAGCGCCCACACACATACGACATGTTTTTTTGGGGGGTTTAGGTTAGGCCACCAAGCCTCACAAGCCAGAAGTTGCCCTGCCGGCAAAAGGTGTTCAAGTTTCTTGCCTCCCGATTTGGGGCCTCGGCCACGCTTCTGGCGCAGTGGCCGGCATGCATCGAGGGGTTCGGTTTTGGGGTTTAGGGTTTAGGGTTTAGGGTTTAGGGTTTCAGGTTTGCTGTAAGACAAAATGTCGGAACGTATCCGTAAACATTTGTCAGCAGGTTTCGGCTTCAAATTTTAGGGATCTGTTTTCGGTTTCAACCTTCAACCCTAAACCCCAAACCCCAAACCTTAAACCCTAAAACCTATAAGAGAAGCTAAGTATCAAGACTTTTCACAAGGTTTGCAGGTGCAACTCCGAATCCTAAATTTCACGTGGGGTTCGGGGGGGGGGGTGACTGCGACATTCACCCACACCCGTCGCCTGTCCTGTGAGGTTATGAGGAAGCCTCGTGGTATGGTTTATTGTTGGTTAAGCTGATGCTAGCTCTGTGTGGTGCTAGAGTAGCTCCTTGTAGTTGGGTTGGTCTTCTTTTCAGGCCTTCTCAAAGTATCTCTAGGAAGGGCTCGCATTGACGCTTGTAGCCTTCACAACAGGTCATGATCAAAAACCGGCGCGGCAGGCTCAAAAGAGGGGTGATCTATGGGTGCCATAAGTAGAAAGACGATACGCACTGCTAAGTGAGCTTTCAACCGCCATAGTGCTTAAAGCCAGCATTCGCAGAATAATTTCCAACATGCTTGCAAGCGCATGTGCTGCAGGTGGTTCAGCTCCTCGTATCCCTCACTCATAGACGTGCAGGCAGATTGGGGCACCTTTGGACTGTGCTACTTAATATTGTTTTAGGTGGCTGGACACTATTGTATTTGTTGCGAGTTGTTCGGAGTTACTTACCCCACCATTAGACCTTCCGTTGTTGCAATGTTCCCGGGCATGCCATGCCGGGAAAAATGTCAGCAGAGGTATACTCGTGGGCTTCTGGAGGCTCTTGGTGTAGGCTAGTCAGCCCTTGCTAAAGCTGAGACGGAGTCTTTTCCCTTCCGCCCTAAGCCCGAAACCCTAAACCCGAAACCCCAAACCCCAAACCGTAACTGGTGGGGTGCAAGTTCCTTGCCTTTCAGACGTACAGGCTTTCGGGTTCAGGTTCAGAGCAGCCAGGCCACTATCATCCCCCACCCGCAATCCCCGAAAGCCACCATATACTTCTAAGGCTTCTAAAGGACCTGCGTTTCCGCAAAACAGGTCTTGTAGCCGAGTTGTTTTTGAGCGCGAAGCTTTGATTCTTGGGATGCTGTTGGCTTGAAGGAGTTCTAGGGCTCGATTCCATAGCTAGTAAGGCTGTTTGGGTTTCGAGTTTAAGGCTTAGGGGTTTGGGGGCTTAGGGTAGAGTGTAATTAGGGTGTAGGGTTTAGGGTGTCGGGTGTAGGGTTTAGGGTTTAGGGCCTCAACACCTTTAGCCACCATTCTGATGAAAAGGCTGCAAGATGCGAAATTGCAGATGTCTTTTTGTCCACCCTAGACAATAACCCTAAGCCTAAACTTAGACCCTAAAAGTCTCTCCAGGTCTGGTGCTTCTGGCCGTCGCTCCTGCTCCAAACCCTTTCCTGGCCAGCCTGCCCAGGCCAGCACAGGGTTGAGGGTTTAGGGTTTGGGGTTTGAGGTTTAGGGTTTGGGGTGTGAGGTTTGGGGTTTGGGGTTTAGGGTTTAGGGTTTAGGCTTTGGGGTTGGTGACCGGTGCCACCTCCCTCCCCAAATCTATACGACCTTAATGACCTCCTGACCCCGCCCCTAGACATCACCGCCTGCAGGACCCAAAACCCTAAACCCTAAACCCTAAACCCTAAACCCTAAACCCTAAACCCTAAACCCTAACACGTAATTAAACCCTAAGCCCTGAACCCTCATACGGCGAGCTTTCACTTGTGCGGAAACCTAATGCTGGAAAATAAACCTTAAAGCCCAGACCTTGCAATCTCCCTAAACCCTAAACCCTAAACCCAAGGACCCAACAACTGCGGTATACAGAGCCCCAGGTAGGTTTTCAGGACAGGATGACCGGCCCACGAGCCATCACGAAGTTTGCAGCTTTACAGGGCCTCAGAAGGTAAGGCGCTGGTTTAGGGTTTAGGGTTTAGGGTTTAGGGTTTTAGGGTTTAGGGTTTAGGATGCGCAAGCAAGTGTACATGAGCCTTGCATGCTAACACTGCTGAAACCCCGGGATCCAAAGCCCTAAGCCCTTGTTCCGATATCTCCCCGTTGGAACCATTCTTCCCAACCCTGGAGTGCTAGACCCACACAACTTCCGTCTCTGGGCACAGCCTAGCCACACAAACCCTAAACCATAAACGCAATACCCATCGTTTTCTGGCTTAGGGCTGAGGAATCGATGCTCGAACAATTGGCCTGCACCTTTGCGCACTAGAGCAGCACCCGGAAGCACCGAAGCGCCAAGACCCCAAGCCGCAAAAGCCCCTCACCACATCCCCCTTGGGAACTTTTTGTTTATAACAAACCCAAGAGGATATTCACAATATTATGTTTATCAAGGTTCTAAGGGAATATAGCTCAAGGCCCTCAACCAAGCACTGTATTGTACCCCCTTACGGGGTCATGGGGAGTTTTGGGGGACCTTGGGTTGCACATCCCTTTGAAACCCCCTCCCTTAAGAACCCTACATATAAGTGTAAGGCTGCGATGAGGGTTTGGTGTTGGGGGTGTACAAAACAGCAAGAACGGTTCCTTCGATCACTGCTTCCTTGCATTCCTTTATAGCTCGCAGTAGGTAAGAGGCACCATCGGGCCTTAGGGCTTAGAAGTTGAATTTAGGGTTCACAAGAGGAACCGCACCGGGAGTCCTTGAGGTTTCGGGCTTAGGGCTTCTTGGGTTTAGGGTTTGGGCTGGGGCTTGAAGACCAAAACCTCAAAATGAATCTAAGAGAACGGAGGACAGTTTAAGGTTCATTGCTTCTTGGAGGGGGATCGACCTGTTGCGCCCGGTACCTTTTTACCCTACACTCCCTCACGCCAAACCCTCAGCAAAGTTGGGCCCTTTGAAAAAACCCCAAACCCTCAATCCTGAAACGAAAACCCTAAACCCTAAAACCCTAGAACCCTAAAACCCTAAAATCCTAAAACCCTAAAACCCTAAAACCCTAGAACCCTAGAACCCTAGAACCCTAAAACCCTAAAACCCTAAGACCCTAAAACCCTAAAGCCCTAAACCCCTAAAGCCCTAAAACCCTAAAACCCTAGAACCCTAGAACCCTAGAACCCTAAAACCCTAGAACCCTAGAACCCTAAAACCCTAAAGCCCTAAAATCCTAAAACCCTATACCCTAAATTTCACACTTCTTCGACCAGGCCTCCAGCTCCCCGACGTGTCCGTTCGCAGCTGCGCCGCTCGTTGGGTATAGCGCTGCAAGGTTTAGGGTTTAGGGTTTAGGGTTTAGGGTTTAGGGTTTAGGGTTTAGGGGATCAGATCAAGATTTAGGTTTCGGGAAGTGGCGTTTTGGTGGTTTGGGAGCTTAGAATAGGTTTGCGGGTGGGATGTTTTGTTGTCAGTGTTCCGGAGGGCTAAGCAATGGCGCTGTTTAGGGCTTCAGGCTTCAGCCCAAAAAAATCAGGGCTTTGGGGCGGGGGCGGGGGGGGGGGGTTGGGATATAAGGAGTTTACAGGGTGAAGGGGTTTCAGTTTGAAAGTTTCGGGCCTTGGGTCTACTGATGAAGTAGTCGCCAAAAACCCCCCAACCCTAAACCCTTAGAAGCCCTAAGACCCAACCCGGCGTCCTGATGTGCCCGAAATCTTGACATGGCGATTTGTCTCCCAAAAGCATGAGGCCTATCTATATATATATATAATATAAATACACACATATATATATATATGCTTGAGGTGACTTCCCACGCGAATGAGAAGTTGTGTCGCTGTGTCAGCGTCATGACTCTAAGAACTGCCAGACTCAGAAAACGAACGCCCAGAAGGACAGGGTTCGCAACATTGCGATCCCAAACCTTATTTTTCGCTCGCAAGAGCTGGGCGCTCAACCAAGAAAAGGACACTATACTATATTCATGATCATGAACATTACGAATTAAATTTGTTTCACAAACTGACAGTAACGCGCGAGCCCCCAGGGCATGGTAACCAACCAGATGATTCCCCCCCCAAAAGCCCTGGCCCCCCATAGCTGGATCGCCCCCGGGTGGCAAGAAATGGGGGTTGCCGAAAATAGGGGTACCTTATTTGGGGTCGTTCCTAGTACACTTTGGGGGATCTGTTTTGGGGGTCCCCTATTGTCGTAAACCCCAACTCTACACAGGCGTTCACCCTGTAATGCAAAGCTCGCAAGCCTCCCAGCCAGCTGCAACGAAACATGTTTGGCCATTGTGTATTTTCATTGGCCTTTTGCAAAGCTGCAGCGTGGTGAGCCTGATCCCTAAACCCTAAACCCTAAACCCTAAACCCGAAACCCTAAACCCTAAACCCTAAACCCTAAACCCTAAGCCCTAAGCCCTAAGCCCTAAACCCTAAGCCCTAAGCCCTAAGCCCTAAACCGTAATTAAACCCTAAGCCCTGAACCCTCAAAATCTCAACCAGGAAAGGCCATCGAGGACTTCGCAGAGCAGGGTCAGCTTCGGAGAGGCGGCTGTTGGGGGGTGCGGACATGGCTGGACAAAATTCAGTTCAATTAGGGTTTAGGGTTTAGTTCAATTAGGGTTTAGGGTTTAGGGTTTAGGGCCTTATAGGGGACTGTGCAAGGTTTCTGAAGGTAACAGTTGAGGGTTGAGGCTTGAGCTTTAAACAGCTCCAGTGATATCAGCTGCAAGTCTACGTATCATGAACAATTCCCGAAATTCTACAAATGAATGAATCGGACGTAGTCTGAACTAGGTTTAGCGCCCGTAGCTATTTGCCTACTTGTGTAAAGCAACGAACCCTTGTGCAAAGTGCGCCCAGCCAGAAATCCATCCTCGGTAGCAGCCTTGTAGCTTTTGGACTTTGGCGGGGGACCCCTTCACCCTAAGCTCCTACTTGAAGGCTCCTATGTAGTTCCTTGTCAGGCTAGTTATAGGGGATTATAGCATATTACCCTCAAAAGGAGAGGTACTATGTAGGAGAGCCTTTAGGTAAAACCTAGTCCCAATGTCGAAACCCGAAACCCTAAACAAACCCTGAACCCTAAACCGTAAACAAACCACAAACCCTAAACAACCCTAAGCCCTAAACCCTAAACCCTAAACCCTAAACCCTAAACCCTAAACCCAGTGTCAGGTCTCCGTGCCGTCGAAGCGGTGACCCGGGGCTTTGCGCGAACGCTGCGCGGCCTCCGTGCCTGGACAGGGACTGCATTTTTCGGCCCGGAGATCCCTTAGTGATACGGGTTTAGGGTTTAGCATTTAGGGTTTGTTTAGGGTTTAGGGTTTAGGGTTTAGGGTTTAGGGTTTAGGGTTTAGGGTTTAGGGTTTAGGGTTTAGGGTTTAGGGTTTAGGTTTTACGGACACCCTATAGGTTAGGGTTCACATGGCTGGTCCAAACCGGAGGGGGGGACCTTGAGGGGGTTAGGTAACCCGACTCAATCGTGTTGGGCATTCCTTCCCCAGACTTGCGAAGCTTCACACAGGTTGCCCAGGCACCCTCAACTGAACGTAGGGACCTTACAAAGGCGAAGATGCAGAGGGGTGCCCAGACGCCAGTGAACTGGAACACAAGCTGTCGTGCAACGAAGTTTGGGCTCCTTGCCGTCCGAAGTCCAGAACTTGAAACCTTAAAGCTTAACTAGACTCATCACTGTCATCCTGGAGTTTAGGCACATGCGACCCGGGCCTGCGCAACTAGACTCTGGCCAGTGATCTCTGAGAGTAGAGTCAAGTTTGCGCAGTATCAACTACAACACTGTAGAGCTCGGCGCCGGCCAGGGGCCTCTGTAGCCGGAACATGGTGGAGTTAGCAAGCCCTACGGTGCAGTTGAAGAACCCTAAACCCTAAACCCTAAACCCTAAACCCTAAACCCTTATCCCTAAACCCTAAACCCTAAACCTAATCCCTAAACCTTTAGGGTTTAAGGACCAGCCCCCATGAGGCAATGGGAGCGAAGAGGAGGGCAGCTGGGATGCAAAGCTCCTGCAGGCAGTTTTCCCGCCTGATGCGAGTTTAGGTTTTTCGGAGTTGGGGTTTAGGGTTTAGGGGTTTAGGGGTTTAGGGTTTAGGGTTTAGGGTTTAGGGTTTAGGGTTTAGGGGTTTAGGGTTTAGGGGTTTAGGGTTGCAGTGGTTTAGCACTTCAAGCCCGAAACTTCACCCTCGTTTTGGGACTACTCAGGGCATAAGAGTTTTGAGGGGTTTTGTATCTGACAACCCCCCCTCCCCCTCCCGCACGAACCACCAGACCTGGTCTGAGCGAGTTCAGGCAGGCCGCGTCAATCCCAGAAAGCCTCTGTACTTGAAGGTTCAGGGGTACTTAAAGTGGAGTTGCAAGCGCCGGAAATAAGGTTACAACCATAGTTATCCTACTTAAAACCCTTATTGTAAGTAATCATGAACCTCCAAGTAGTACGATTGCGGAGTTCACTGAATACGGGCTTAGGGCCCTAGGCATTTCAGGTTTTGGCTTTTAGGGTTTCCTGCTTGTTTCCGGAAACCCCTACGCTGTGGGGCTTCAGGTTTCGGTGTTTAAGGGTAGTGACATGGGCCCTTAATATGATCCCTTACCTCTTTTAAACGGTTCTGAAGTTTGGGCCCTTGGGTTTGTGCAGGGTACATAAGGGGTATATAAAGGGGTCCCCATTTAAGGGCCCATACTAAGGGACCATACCCTAAACCCCAGACCCTAAACCCTAACCCTAAACCCTAAATCCTCAACCCTAAACCCTAAACCCTCAACCGACCATGTAACCTTTGGCGCGCAGGCCTTGGAGGACTCCCCGCCTGGTGAGGTCACCAGGCTGCTGCAGCAGGTGGGGGTTTGGGTTTCAGGTTTTGGGGGGGGGGATTGAGGGTGGTTATGCGCCCAGGGCTTAGCTGCAGCACCCTAACCCTAAACCCTAAACCCCAAACCCCCTAAACCCGAAACCCTAAACCCTCAGGGCTTTTTTGGCTCTGGCTCGGGGGGTTCCAGGGTGAAGGACTACAGCACAATGATCCTCACACCCACAACCCCCCCCAAGCCCTACAAACCCTAAACCCCCCTGAACCTTCCATTTTAATCTCCATGTGCAGGTTCTGCCCGCCAGCGCCGAAGTTCTGGAGGGCGCCCGGCGCTTTCGACCCACTCGAGAGGAGCTTCGCAAGGGGGTTTGGGGTGTGGGGTTTAGGGTTTAGGGTTTAGGGCTCGGAGTACTTCCAAACAACCCCCCCCCCCCCCCCGCAGCCACCCTCAGCCCTCAACCGGCTTCTATTCCCTAGACGCCCTAGACCCTGACCGCCCTAAAGACCCCTAAGCAAAGCGTAAACACCCTGAACACCCCAAAAGCCCTAAGCAAACCCTAAACCCTAAACACCCCGAACAGGCCCTTTGACAAACCACCTTTTGCCGCAAGCCACTTTGGCTCCAGATTTGTGGTCCAAGCGGAGTCCAAGCACAACTTCAATTTTCGACCGCCATTGCGTCTATGGCGACCCGCGCGCCGCTCTTGGCCAAGGAGGGCAAGGCCCAGGCCCACAGCAAGGCCTCGATCTTCTATGGCGCTGATGAGTACCTCGAGGAGCTCAAGCGCAAGTATGAGCATCTTGAGGGGTACTTGGAATTACTTTTTTTTGGGTACTATGATTCCCAAGAAACAGCATAAACATTAGTTTTTGCTAGGGTTCCAAGTTCAGTATAGGCATGATCACGAGATCGCCGCTCTCAAAAACGCATTGCCTGGTGAAGGAGACCCAAATGCAGCAGGCGTTGCGCAAAGCAGCGACAAGATGCTCTCTGTTCAGAAAAACAACGAAAACAGGAGTCTGAAGACCAATCGGCTGTTCCCGACCCCGAACAAGCCAGACCCCATGCCGCAAAACTTGGCGTTCCTCTTCACCAAGATTACGCCTGAGCAAATGATATACATGTGGAACGTGCTCACAGCGATCTTTTGCAGCCAAGTATTGATGGTAGTCGCCTATTGCGCAGCCTTGGCTTGCTTCCCAGACTTTTGGTGGACCTGCACGCTGTGCTTCGGCATCCCGTTTTCGTACATCGCCATCCAGCAGATCTACATCGATCATGATGTCATGCACGGTGCAACCTTCCCCGTGTACGAATGGCAGCGCTTCTTGACCCACCCGTTTCTTAGGAATTCTTGGGAATATTTTTGGATTGTTGGGTACTATAACGCCTAAGAAACAGCTAAACTTAGAATTTTTGCTAGGGTTCCAAGTTCAGCATAGGTTTGCGGACTTTTTCTCCTTGCCGTGGGAGGAGTTCGTGCTGGAACACAACAGGCACCACGCGTCCACTGTGGACTTGCTCATCCAGGGCGAGTTCGGCTGGGACCCTGAGGAGTTCCACTATGCCTTGCAGCAGTGGGCAGGGCCATGGAGCTCCAACTGGTACAAGTACCTGCTCACCGTGCCCTTCATTCCTGTGATCCACTTCTTTGGCCTGAACGACACCGGATCCCTCTTCGCCCTGGAGTGGTGGATGCACTTCCCGGATGAGGGCGCGGGCGGCAAGTGCAACAAGGAGTTCTGGAGCAAATGGGTTCCTCGCCGCATCAAACACAATGCTTTTGTCCTGTCCCTGTGGGCCTTCGTGTGGCTGCTTGGCACCTACCCTTTGGGACGCCCCTTGAGCGAGGGCTGGCGCTTCATGTTCACCGTGTCGTTCTTTGCCCGCATTGGGTTCTCGGCGGCCTGGATGTTCATCACCAACTTCACGCACTCCCTTCCTTGGAACGAGTTCCTCGCGCAGGATCCGGGCCGTACCTGGCCAGTGCTGCACAATGTCATGGCCATGGTTCTGGGTGGCAAGCACCGCTGGAACGAAATGCTCTTCCATGACGTTCACCATGCGTTCCCCAACGCTGTCGGCACGCTGAGCCAGCGCGGACGCTTCCATGGCTGGGAGAAGGTGCATGATGCTGCGGCCGAGGTTCTTCACCGCGGCTTGTGGAAGGCAAATGGCGATGAGGAGACCCAGATGCAGAAAACTCAGAGGAAGCGCTCCCTGATGATGAAGCAGGGCAAGTAGACTCGTGTACTCATCAGATTTTCGTGCTCCCCAAACGCTGTTCTGCTTGTACAGCACTCAGCACTGTGGGGGCCTCCCTTATACAGGGATTTACCTGTACAGCCGCACAAGTGCGGACCAAAGCACGAAGGTGCGGGGAGGGCAAGCCATCACCACATTGGAGATTTCGCGAAAAACCGGAACCTTTCGGAACGTTTTTGCTGCGACGGCTTTGTAGGCACCATTTCTCCCTATTTCTCTTTGACTGACCAGACTATGTTCCCTGCAATGTGGCCTCTTCGTCAGCTAGGCACCCTAAAAAACCCTAAGTTTTAAACACCCTTAACGAATGGCTTCGCCCCCCCCCCCCCCCCCCCAGGAAAAACAGAAGCAACCCCAAACAGAAGGAATCCTTGTTATCTGAGGAGGGTCAAGCCCCAAGTCCCTACCTCTCCCCATCCCAAAATAAATAATAAAAAAGGTCCGCTGCATAGGTATGGGCCCTCTCTTCAATATTCCCCCTCTACTTTCATGTAGGACCACGGAATTCAAGCCAATGACCTGGGGGGATATTGATATTGCTTGGGTTTAGGGTCGTCGCCCCGGGCCAAGCAAAAAAACCTGAACCACTGTTGTTTGTTTCGGGTTTCGTGTTTGGGGGTCAGGCTGGAGGCACCTAGTCTTCCGGGTCGTTGGCGAGGCCTACACTCATATAGAGAGTGTATACCCTACAAGCCTTACAAGCTCTGCACACCTTATCAAGACCTATAAGTTACAGAAGCTGTTCTTGTGTGGTTCGCGCAGAGTTGGGTAACGGATACTTCAAAGACCCAGATGCCCCCCACCGCTCCCCTGCCCAAGCTGCTGCCCAACCCAATGCACCCAATATCTTTCATGGCGACGCCGCTTGCAGGGCTTGATCTCCAGAATTCTGGGGGACGCAGGTTCCAGGATTGGTGGGGCCCTACCTAAACCCCAAAACCCTCAACCCTGAACCCTAAGCCCTAAACCCTAAACCCTAAACCCCACACATACACAAAACAAGAGGACCTTGCCACACGTTTGGCCTCGGAGGAAGCGCGCCAGGCGTTCCCCCATTGGAGGGTTTAGGGCGTCAGGTGGTGGGATAGGGGTCCCCCACCCCAATAGCTTGCAGCCTGATATGGTGACTTTCGAGAACCCATCATGGCTTGAAGGGTTTAGAGTTTAGGGTTTCAGCTTGAACCGAAGAGATCGCTTCCGGCAGGTTTTCATTAGTCAGGAGCAGGTCCTACATCGGTGCGATCCGACTTATCCTCCCAGTTTCTGCTGTGCTGCACGTCGTTAAACCCCTATACCCCCAAACTTCAAAACCCTAAACCCTAAACCCTAAACCCTAAACCCTATTGTGATATGGTTACCGGGCGACCAAGCTCGCAGCGGGATCCCTCTTTCTCTTTCTCTCTCTCTCACACACACACCGTAATATGCAAGAAGACACCCCATTCGAGCAACTCGTGTTTTCCAGGCTTTGGGGGTGTTAGGAGGTTTGGGCCTTTCGGGCTCGAGGGTTTTGGGGATGTAGGGTAGGGGCTTTAGGGTGCATGCTAGGGTCTGGGGTTTCGGGTTTGTCTCGTGCTCTATGTTTGGTTTATAGGGGCTGAAGTTTCGAGCAGTCTCTGGAGAGTTGGAGGCCCTGCCAAAGCGGCTGATGGTGGTGGAGTTCGGCGAAGACCCGCAGGCCGAAATCTGAAAGCAGTTTGGAGCTGGGGTGTCGGTTTTGGGTGTCGCAGTTCCCTATACTGAGCCCTGAAACCCCTAGACCAGAATCTTCAAACCTCCAAGCCCCTAAAGCCCTAAACCCGAAGGTCCACTTCGGAAACCCACCCTAAACCCTAAACCCTAAACCCTAATCCCTGAACCCTAAAACCCTAACCCCTACCCCCCCCCCCCCCCCCCCCCCAAAGCAAAAAAAAAAAAAGCCGAAGCAGCGACAGGACGACTCCTCTTGGCTTCTGCGCCTTGCCATGAAGCCCAAAGTCTCTGAGCCTCAAGCCCCTGAGGGTTCATGTTTAGGGTTTAGGGTTTAGGGTTTAGGGTTTAGGGTTTAGGGCAGTTTAGGGGTTTAGGGTTTCAGGGTTCAGGGTTTAGGGTTTGGGGGGCTCTTGACTAAGCAGACATCGTGTGGTCTAGGGGGTCTTTTGGTTGTCAGATGTGGGGGTCGGGGTGGGTAGGTTCGCATCAGGCTTGCGAAGGTCCATTGGGAGGGCGACATGCACATGTGCGGTGTAGGTTAAGGTGCATGGGGTTCTCTAGATGATGCTCAACACTAGACTCCCTGACCCCTGAATTGCTTGTGGTATTCCCTTAGGGCCCCTTGAAAACTATATTAATACTATAACACCCCCCAAACCCTATTTCGAAATATTAAGGCCCCTATATTAGAGGGTTTTTGAGCTGTTTGGGGTTTACGGGTTTAGTGGTTTTGGGGTTGGTTGAGGCTGTGGAGGAGTACATTCAGTTTTGCCGAAGAACGATTGCTTACTGCTGAGCTCTAAGCCCCCAGATGTCCTTGTTGGGGCCGGGAGTTTGAAGGGGCTTAGGTTAGAGAATTGTCCCCTAAACCCTAAACCCTAAACCCTAAACCCTAAACCCTAAACGGCCCCTCTAGAGTTCTGGCTGAAGAAACCACATTGTAACAGCCTACGTGTGAGAGGAGGTTGCAGTTTGGGAGTGGAGGGGGGTGGGGGCTTTGAAAGCCTCAAGGACCCAATTCCCCGCTACACCCGGTCACTGAAACCCTAAACCCTAAACCCTAAACCCTAAACCCTAAACCCTAAACCCTAAACCCTGAACCCGTCATCCGCTTGCCCGACGCGCCATCAGGTCCGCCTTGGGCTGTGAGGAGCAGAAGCCTCCAGAGGAAGTGGATGCCGCGTTTAGGGGTTGTGGGGCAGGATTTTCGGGGTTCAGGGTTTCGGGTTTAGGGTTTAGGGTTTAGGGTTCTTAGGGATTCAGGGGTTTTGGGGCATTTAGGCCTTTCGGGTGTTTGCAGGGGGTTATGGGAGCTGGGGTCGATCAAACAGGCCCTTTTTTTGCAGACCCTTTGCTAAACCGCTGCTGGTGTTGTGGGCTGGCCAGGGTTGTGGGTTGCATGTTCGGCCGTTTTGTTCTTTTAAGTATGTGTGCCCTAATCAGTTGGCAAAGGCGGTACGTGAATAACAGTTGAGTTCATGAACCGTGGCGTCTAGGGGAGTGCTAGATGGGGGCAAGCACGCCGACTCACAGCTATGCTGAAGACGACGTACGAGCCCTAAATTGCTGAGCCAAAAACCCAAAAACCCAAACACCCCAAACCCTAAACAGTGCCCAAAGAACCGAGTCATGCCCGTCTTCAATCCCCCACTCCCCTTAAGCACCAAAGGACCCAAAGGCTCTGGCTTCGGCTCAAGGCAATACTGACATCTTCATTATATGCGGGAACTTCCTTAAATTGAGCATGTTAGTGTTTTTTTTTTTTTGGGGGGGGGGGCCTATAGGCCCTAAACCGCCAGCTTAAGACCGACAAATACCCCGAAAAAAACAAGTGAAAGGACATGTTCGCTGCTTCTGGCTGGGATCCACTGGATGCCATTGACGCGGCGCTGGAGGAGGACCGGAGGCCTCTACTTGGAGGTTCGGGGGGGTTTAGGGTTTAGGGTTTAGGGTTTAGGGTTTAGGGTTTGGGGTTTAGGGTTTAGGGTTTAGGGTTTAGGGGGACTCTTTAAAAGGGAACCCTTCTTAACCCTCTTCTGGCTCTCTTAAACAGGGGCCTTATTCAGAGGGTCTTTAACCCCAAGGGTCCGGTGCTTGTAACCCCAAGTATGCCCCGCAAGTCCTCTAAGCAGGTTAGAGTTGTAATTGGGGGTAGAAGTACCCATGAACCTCCACCTCTCCGAGGGATCGGCTGTCTCAAATCACGCGAGAACCGTGGAAGTTCCAAGCTCCAGACTCCAAACACAAGCCCTCCAAGCCTAGGCCTCTGAAAGCCCTACACCCTAACCCTAAACCCTAAGCCCTAAGCCCTAAACCCTACACCCTAGCTACTAAGCCCCCTACACGGCCCTACACCAAGCAACTCCCAGGAGCTCGCCGAAGCGGAGCTTGAGGACGCTGGGCTTAGGGCTTCGGCTTGAGATCTTAAGCCCTGAGCCCTAAGGGATCAGGGATTAGGGGTGGGGGCTGCCAAGGTAGTTACCTAGGATCCTACAGGCAAGTAGAGAACCCCGAACCCCGATATCCCTGAATACGAGCCCTAAGCCCTAAGCCCTAAGCCCTAAGCCCTACGCCACGATCCGAAGCCTTGGTTGAGCCCTTTTTCGACCTCCCTCGGTGGCACTATTGCAGGGCTAGGGTTTAGTGCATGTGGGTGGGACGGCCTTTTTGCTTGAAGCTGCACCTAGAGGTGTGAGGAATGATTGGCGTGGTATTGGAACCCCTAGAAGTTTTGAATTCGGGAATCACCTGTGGGTTTTGCTCTCGGGGAGGATTACTTTGGGGAACCTGTTTTTGTTCACAAGGGTTCTATTCTAAGCAGACGTGCTTGTCGGGGGCCCAAATATCGATCCGACATCCTACGCCTCAAAAGCCCCAAAGAAGGAGAGCCATAAACAACAAGCATTCATAACACAACACACTCACTAACTAGGACCCACAGTAGGCCCTTATTCCGAGTGGTTTTAGGGCTCAGGTTCTCTTCTGCCCCTTAACCAACAAAGGGCACCCTCTTGATTCCTAGGCTACTCTTGGGTCTGGGTAAATATCAAAAGAATCGAAAGAATGATGATGACTTGGGATGTTCCCCCTTATACCAACAGTCCTTAACAGGGATTTTGGCACCCCCTAGTTTTTACAATCCCCACGAAGGACTGTTCGTATGAGGGGGAACATCCCACATAATGAAACCCTAAACCCCATGACACTATACAAAGAACAAAAGCTAGACACCCGTAGGGTACTTCAAGCTACCGAGCCGCCCCCCACCCCCCAGTTCCCCAGAACCTTGCGGCTCTAGTGTCCTTTAGGTCTTAGTTTTTTAGGGTTTAGGGTTTAGGGTTTTAGGGTACTTCTGAGTTTTTGGATGGAGGGATCTTTGATGCAGGGTGAGATCTGGGTTGTTGCTGGACGTATGCCAGGCGTGGGAGGACGACGAGGACGACTTGGCTGAAGAGGAGGACGAGGAGGCGCTGGAGTTCTTTGATTGGTCCCTAAACCCTAAACCCGAAGCCCTAAACTCTAAAGTTCTGGTTTGGAGGTCTGATTCCAAACTTTCCAAAACTCAACCAGCGAGAGTTCCGAAGCCCCTTCCCAAGGCCAAAATCCCAAACCCTGTACCCTATACCCCCCAGCATGAAACCGAGCCGGCGGAGGGTTTAGGGCTTCTGGGGTACCTTCCTTGGGAGGTTGGGGGGAGTGGCTACATTTTTAGGGTGCCGTTCGGACCCGGAATCCCCGTTTTTCAAGTATCCTGAAGTGGACAGGAGGGTTTCGGGCTTGAGAGGGCTTCTAGTGCAAGGTTTTGGCGCTGTTGGGGTTCATGGCTGAGGCCCACCGAGCCCCCACACGGCCCGTCGTCACCTCGTGAGTTTCGGCTGTTTGGGGTTGAGAGTTTCGCAACTTCGCAACCTAAAATCACCAACAGACACTGAACATCAAGAAAGCCTTGCAGCCGTCACGAAACTCCATAGTAATAGACCTCAACGAACCCCTGCACTGAAAGATCCTGAAGCGCCCCGGGAGCCTAAACCCCATGAGTTGCGATTGCAACCTAGACTATATCCCCCTGGGGAATTATTTTCTTATTTTTGTTCATATAAAACCCAAGAGGATATTTAAAATAGTATTCTGTATTAAGGTTCTAAGGGAGTAGAGTCAAAAAGCCCAACGTGCCCTTCATGACAGGTGCGAGAGGCCCGCCGACAGCTGGAGGCCTAGCCCAAGAGGTTTTCCCAAAGAGCCGAATACCCCCTTAATTAAGGAATATACCTTAGATGATAGGGTTTAGGGTTAGGGTTTAGGGTTTAGGGTTTAGGGTTTAGGGTTTAGGGTTTAGGGTTTAGGGTTTAGGGTTTAGGGTTTAGGGTTTAGGGTTTAGGGTTTAGGGGGATAGTAAGGATCCCTTTATAATTTAAGCTATATTCCCTAATTAAGGGGTATTGGGCTCTCTGGTTTTGGTTTAGGCGGGTTTTGGGGAAAGAAGGGTTTAGGGGTTAAACTACCAATTGCTTAAGGCAACCCCCAATAAATAGAAACATATACTCTTCCTTATAAGGGTAATATAGGATGTTCATTAATTTTTGCGTAGGTTACGGTTTAGGTTCAGGGTAACAACTCACGTAAACACACTCGGTAAAGCTTTGGGGTTTAAGTTTTTAGGATTGGGGGCCCGGCTTTTGGGCTTTATAGTCTCCAAATTAAGGGTCTACGGGACTTAGAGGATTTCCAGACTTTGTAAGGGGTACTTGTGTCTACTGCGCTCAGGGTTGAAGGGCTCAGGGCTTTTAACCCTAAAACCTAAACCCTAAACCCTAAGACCCAAAACCCAAAACCGCTAGGAGCAAGGCAGCCCAGCCTTTGTCCCCAGGGCCGCGACAGGTGTTCCTAGTAGCTGAGTGAGCACACTTTACACTTTATGGGATACGATAACTCCCTATAGAGCTGAAAGTGTACACTTTGTGTTGGGGCTTATCAACTCAGCAGCTAAGTGTTGTACTGAGCCTAGCCGGGTGCTTCGAACTCGTTTGGGCAGGTCTTGGCTCTCAACACCAAAATTTTGCAACCCCAAAACCCCTGACCCAAAAACCTAAGCCAACCCAAAAAGACTCCGCGACTTTGAGCGCCAAAGCCATCAATCCTTCATGTCTCTCTGCTCCAAAGCCATGAGTTTAGGGTTTAGGGTCTAGGGCTTGAAGTAGTTGAGGGTGCCCAAAATCCAAGCCTCATGTGCTCAGCCAACCGGTTGGAAGGTGGAATGGGAGGCGGATGCCTCCAGCAACATCCAGGCCGGGTTTGGGGAAGGTCGGGACTGGGGTTTACTAAACTCTTCTTCGAACCACTGGCCCTTGAGCTCACTTACCTCACTTGATCATTGCCTGTGGCCAGCAGTTCCCAGCCCCTGCTGTGACAAGTTTCATGTAGGGGTTTTCGGGGTAGCTATGATATGTGGAGCTGATGATTATTCAGGTCAAAAAGAGCCGCAAATTCGAGAACTGCTCGTGGATCTTGCAATCCACCCCCGACCCCTAATCCTAAACGCCGGGGCGCCCTGTTGCATGCTGTTGTATAAGGGATCCTAGGCACCAAGCAAAATGAAGAAGGGTGCGTATTACTGGACATGCTAGTAGTGAGGGAAAACCAGCAACCCCAAGCCCTGAGACCTAAACCCTAAAGCATCAACCTGATCCTTAAGCAGCGCAGCATGCAGCGAATCTGCGGCTCTCAAAGCCATTATACAAGAATCAGGTGGGAATATAGGGGATGAAGTACTATATAGTGGTCTCAAACTCAAAGCATGTAGCCTTAAACGCCCAAAGCTCCAAAAGAGGGGGTACTATTTTTGGCATTGGTACCTGGACGCACAAAACCCTAAGCGCCGGACTTTGGTGCTCTACTGACGCGGTTGTAAACCCTAAACCCTAAACCCTAATGGAGCTTCATTTCAGGTTTCAGGGTTTGACGTTTACGTTCCGAGCGTTCCGGGCTTCGTCGGGCCAAGGGAATTCGAAGTTTAGGGTTTAGGGTTTAGGGTTTAGGGTTTAGGGTTTAGGGTTTAGGGTTTAGGGTTTAGGGTTTAGGGTTTAGGGTTTAGGGTTTTGAACCTTGAGAACCTCGTGTGGCCAACAGGAGTGGGAGGAAGATCCAAATCAAGCGAGGGTTGTGGAGCCGCGATGCAGCATTGAGGAGAGTTTAGGGTTGAGGGTTTGGGTTTAGGGGTTTAGGGGTTTAGGGTTTAGGGTTTAGGGTTTAGGGTTTAGGGTTTAGGGTTTAGGGTTTAGGGTTTAGGGTTTAGGGTTTAGGGTTTAGGGTTAATTCCGAAATCCCAAACCAGAGAGGAAGGAAGCAAAATCCTGAAGCCATGCTTGCGCTGACCGTTTCTTTGGTTTCCAAATCACAGGCCTAGGGTTTAGGGTTCAGGGTGTAGGGTTTAGGGTTTAGCGTTTGGGGTTTGGGGTTTAGGGTGAGGGAAAGGTTCAGGGCACATCTTCTGATGCCCCGGAGGCATCACAGTTTCTAGCGTATAAGGGCTTAGGAATAATGGGCCCTTGTTGGACTCCTTGTCGGTCAGGGCTTCTAGGGCTTAGAGGGTGCATGCTCAAGGCTTGTCCGAATGAAGAGTGGCAACAGCGCTCCTATGGACCCTTGGCTGCAAGTTTTTGTTGAGCCCTTCGGTTGAGCGAAGGACACGACACAGACACCAGATAGGGCTCATCGACCCTAGAAGACCTCCGACCAGTAAACTCGGTATCAGTTTGGGGTCTATAGGGCTTCTTGTGTCTAGAGTGCAGTCGATGCAGGCTCCCCCTCCCCCGCAAAAAAAAATCTAAAAGGGCCTAAAGCCCCCACAAACTGCGAAACTCCAAAGCCTACAGTACCCCCTCATGCCCCCCCCCCCCCCCCCAAACCCTAAAACCCCTAAACCTTAAACCCTGCGCCCCTAAGCCCCCTAAGCCCCCTAAACCCGAACAGCCCTAAGTCCGAGGACTTTCAAGATCACCTCGATGGCTTGGAAGGCATGCGCCGGGCAGGGTTTAGGGTTTGGGGTTTGGGGTTTAGGGTTTGGGGTTTATAGGGGTTTATAGGGGGTTATAAGGGCTTATAAGGGTTTAAAAGGGTTTATGGTGGTTTTGGGTTTTTGCGGTTTTGGGGGTTTTGGTGGGTCGGGTCGTGGGGTTGAAGGTATTCAGGGCCTGAGGCTGTACAGGTGGGCGTGTAGGCTTCGGAGGTCGTGGGGTTCGGGGTTTGGGCACTTCAGCGCTTTAGGGCGAACTTACGGGCTACGGGGCTGGGGATTACTGTTCATAGGGGTTTAAGATTTAGGGCTCATAGGGTTTGTGCATGCTGTTGAAGTTTGGGGTTTGGGGTTTCATTGTTTTGTGGTTAAGGGTTGGGATGTTCCCCTTATACGGACAGTCCTTCATAGGGATTCTACTTGGGGGACAACAATCCCTATAAAGGACTGTTAGTAATAAGGGCCAACATCCCAAGTTAAGGGTTTCTTGAGATTTTGAGGATGCTACTGCAGGACACGGGCCTGTGGCTCTTCACTCCCCCCTTACCAAGCCCAAGCCTGGTTGACCAAAACCCTTCTTTGCCGTTTAGGGTTTAGGGTTTAGGGTTTAGGGTTTAGGGTTTAGGGTTTAGGGTTTAGGGTTTAGGGTTTAGGGTTTAGGGTTTAGGGTTTAGGGTTTAACGCACAAATTGACGAATCTGTAGGGGAAACGCCCCTAATTGCGTGCCTATGTCGTCTTCCGAAGCAGTCATTCATTAAATTTCTTGAACTTCGCACGCCCGAAGACCCCACCCCCGCCCCCCTCCGCCCCCGGAACCAAAACTGACAGCTAAGGGCCTAAAGCCCCAAAACCCGAAAGCGCCAAATGCCCGAGATGCCCTGAAGCGGCGAGGCGAGGTAGCCAGATTCTTGCGGAGGGAAGGGGCATCTCCACGCCCACCAGGCGGGCGTAGGGTTTGGGGTTTCGGGATTAGTGGTTTTCTTCGGGGGGGGGGGCGGGGGGGGGGCTACATACATTTGACCTTTTGGGCGTCCTTACTTTGTAGGAATAATACAGAATGAACCTTTTTGTTCCTTGGTTATGGGAGAAAGAAGCGCAAGATTTATATCCGCGGGTTCAGGGCTTCAGGCTCACATAGGTCATAAAGTTTATGAAATTTATGAAGAACTCATAGGGCTTCACGTCTGAGGGCTTAAGGCAGTTCGGGCGCATAGCGTTTTAGGGTTAAATTTCGCGGAGTTCAGGGGGTTTTGCAGGGATGAGAGGGTCTTAGGCTTAAGTCTTGTGTGGCTTGAAGTTTCGAGTGTTTAGTTGTGGCTACAGTTTGCAGGCCTTGTAGCATTTTAGGGTTTAAGGCTTATCACGCTTTAGTATCGTACGGTTCAGGGCTTCGTAGATGAGGGTTAATAGGGTTTAGGGTGTCCGCGTGGACACAAGAATCACTACAGGGTTCGGGTTTACGGCTTAGAGGGCTTATAGTTTGGAGTCCATATTTGTTGTTTGACAGGGTGCTGACAAGGCCTAGCCCAGCGCTGTAGGACATATGTTCCGTCCTTTCCTTCTGTACTGTAAGGGCCCGTATTTGGTTGAATCGACCATGTACCCTAAATCCTCAACCCACACTCCTCAGAGCACGTGCATTCTTGGGGCCCGGATGTAATACACCTTAAACCGGGCAGTGGGGGCTCTCTACTGGGGCTCTCTGGGCACCCTAAACCCTAAACCGTAACCCTCAGCCCTAAACCCTACACCCTAAACCCTAAACCCGTAACCCTGAAGTGTCTTGGGCACCTCTTTGCAGGCCTTGCATTTGCTGGCGCTTTCGCGCTGAAGGATGGGAAGGGGGGACGGGGGGGGGGTTGTTTTTCGGGGGCCGAATTGGATACCAGAGCCTAAGTAGTTACCCATATTATTTCCTCACAACCCCTAAACCCTGAACTCTAAACCCCAAAACCCTAAACCTGAAACGGCTATGTAAAGCCGCTCAAGGCTTCCGTCCTCTTCACCCTCCATGCCACTCCAATTTATTTGAATAGACCCCTTGCTGATTATGGCTCAGGGTTTTACAGATGTTTGGCGGTCCTTTGGGGCCTACAGTCGGGTGGGCTTTGGGCTCCCAAACCTAAACCCCAAACAACAGGTTCGGGGCTGTGGCAGCTTCGATGGTGCTCGCCCTTCCCTAGACGGCCCCTTCTACATGTTTTGCCCTCAACCCTAAACCCGAAACCCTAAACCCTAAACCCTAAAGTAGAATGTAAAAGTAGCTGGCCCAAAATCTCATTATAGTTTCAGTACGGTCAGTACATTGCCTAGTAGCGGTGGTTGCACGGGACTGGCAACCTATCCCCCCCCCCCCCCCCCCCCCCCCCCCAAAACAACCAGCCCTTCCTGTGCCACCTTACACCCCGCCCCTAAATCCCTAACCCCTACCTAAACCCTAAACCCTAAACATCCCGAAACCCCCCCAAAGCCCTAAACCCCTAAACCCCTCCAAACCCCAAACCCCTAAACCTTAAAAACCTTTTGAGAAGTTGGGCTTTGGAGTTCTTTGAGTTCGTTGGCGGCCAGGCGCACCTTTTCCGCCTGACGGCGGGGACGAACAGCAACTCGGTAGCTGTTCGAGGGCTGTGTTGTCCTCTGGAGCTTATAAATTACGGGTTCATCGATTATTTGTTAAAAAGGGTTCATAGAGTATTTGTGTCCGGGTTCATAAAATATTTGTGTCTGAGTTTGCAGCCCACCGCTTTGCATTCCTGCGGGGCGCGCACTTTTTATATGCACAGCGCAGACTTCCATGCCCACAAGATGTATTCGGATTAGTTGCTAGTCGTATCCCCTTATGGCCCCCCACAACCCTATTCTGATTACTTAGGCCCCGATATGACGAAGCGTTACCTGAGAGATTGCTCGGAGAACGCAGATGCGAGATCGGCAGCGCGGGGTGACGACTAGAGGTGCTTTCACTCTTGACGGCTCTTACTTAGTCCTCCTACTAGCACTATTCAATTGCGCTCAACGAACCCCCGCAAGCCCAACATCCCTTAGGAGGCTTCGGGCCGATCTCCTACCAACAGCGGGCCGCTAACCGGCACATGGCCGTTTGGGGTTTGGGGTTTAGGGTTTAGGGTTTAGGGTTTAGGATTTGGGGCTTCAGAGGAGTTCGCATTTCACGCCGCAAGATTTGGGTTGCTAAAGCCCTTCATATTCATGCAGTTCGCCTTGAGTTGAGCGTCAGAGTCAGGGTTCTCTCACGAACTGCTTCCAGCATACTGTACGCTTCCAAAGCCCTCTAGACCCCAAATTGCCTCAAGTTGTCGTTAAGAACGTGAAGAATCCCATAAGAAGAGGTTTGAGGTGCCCTTCTGAGATGTACGGGGCAGGGCCGCGGGAGGGGGCGGTCGTTGAGCTTTAGGGTTTGGGGATTGTGGGGGGTCTTTGGGATTGGGAGTCTGCAGCCGAGGGGGACATCCTGGCTTGCCTGGCGCAGCTTGAGTCCATATCCCCCGCAGAGGCGTCGAGGGGGCGCAGAGGGGGAGCCGGGGTTTTAGGGTTTTTGGGGCTTAGGATTTCGGGTTTAGGATTTCGGGGGTTCGGGGTTTGGGATTTCGGGT